CCAGTTAGTCTAGATCCTATAGTTGAGACCCAGTTAGTCTAGACACTTTTAGTTCAGACCCATTTAGTTCCGACCAAATTAGTCAACTTCTGTTAAGTTCAGACCCAGTTAGTCTAGACCCTTTTAGTTCACACCCAGTTAGTCCTGACCCTTTAGTTCAGGCCTTGTTAGTTCAGACCAAATTAGTCAACATCCCTTTTGTTCAGACCCAGTTAGTCTGGACCCTTTTAGTTCAAACCCATTTAGTCCTGACCCTTTAGTTCAGGCCTTGTTAGTTCAGACCAAATTAGTCAACATCCCTTTAGTTCAGACCCAGTTAGTCTAGATCCTTTGGTTAAGACCCAGTTAGTCTAGATCCTTTAGTTAAGACCCAGTTAGTCTAGATCCTTTTAGTTCAGGCCTTGTTAGTTCAGACCAAATTAGTCAACATCCTTTAGTTAAGACCCAGTTAGTCAACATCCCTTTAGTTCAGACCCAGTTAGTCTAGATCCTTTAGTTCAGACCCAGTTAGTCTAGATCCTTTAGTTCAGACCCAGTTAGTCTAGATCCTTTAGTTAATACCCAGTTAGTCTAGATCCTTTTAGTTCAGACCTTGTTAGTTCAGACTAAATTAGTCAACATCCCTTTAGTTCAGACCCAGTTAGTCTAGATCCTTTAGTTAAGACCCAGTTAGTCTATTCCTTTAGTTCATACCCAGTTAGTCTAGATCCTTTAGTTCAGATCAATTTAGTCCAAACCCTGCTAGTACGGTCAGACACTGTTTGTTCATATGAACACATTTGAAAGTTTTGCTAATTTCTTGAATCTTGAAAAGTTATCATCTTAAGCGGATTATTTCACTGGGAATGGTGCCATCATAAATTACAGGGTTTCCCTGAATCCTTAACTCTGTCATTCTTTCTGATTTCTGTACAACTAATGATCATCATTAACATGTTCTCAACAACAAATACACATATCACACGACAACAGAGGAAGGCATTTGTGTGACGATTCTCCCTCCAGGGCCTACCATGGACATCCACTGATCAGTCAGAAAGTCATATCTCTCCACACTCTTCAGCTGGCAGTCTGAGCTGTTCCTGCCCCCCACCACATATATACACGGGGGCTGGGCTCGGGGGGTCACAAGCTGCATGGCCGTCAAGTCCTGTTTTGTTCGAATCGCTTTGCTGATGAACAACTGGCACTTTGGACACGTACGAAAAAACTCTGATTTTAACACAACATTTTCCAAGTAGGGCAACTCGAGTAAAGCAAGTCGGATGTTTTGGAGAACGGTGCAGGCCTTGTCGAGACGACACACAGGGTCCCACTGCAGCCACGCAGATGCTGCCTCAAACACCTGGCTCTCTGTCATCACCTGAAGTTTATCACTTTTCAACAACTGGAGAAGCCTCTCTTCTGCGAGGTCAAAAAACTCCTCTGTTCGCACGACCTCAAGAAAGTTCTGATAGATGAATTGTCTTGCAATTGCTTCTAGCTCTGTACAGGTGTACATGTCTGCAAAATGCTGGATGCCTGCAAACATGGAGAATAGGGCAGATTCAGGCAGTGGAATTCTGTTACAGTGAATGAGTGAGTACGGTTATACGCCACTTTTTTTTTAGCAATATTCCAACAATATCACTAGTAACAAACTTAACGTCTACACACAACGGCCTACTATCTCTTGTACACGAGACGGTTGTGCTCTGTGGTACTTAGTGAAGCGCTTGACACTAATTACTTCAGTCACCTTGACAGGCCCACCCAAGTGTGACCCCAGCGATAGTGAGTGAGTGAGTACGGTTTTACGCCGCTTTTAGCAATATTCCAGCAATATCACGGCGGGGGACACCAGAAATGGGCTTCACACATTGTACCCATGTCGGGAATCGAACCCGGGTCTTCGGCGTGACGAGCGAACGCTTTAACCACTAGGCTACCCGACCGCCCCCCCAGCGATAGTTATTAAAGTGTCCTGTAAAATACCTGAAGTGTGAAAGTTATTGTCAATCATAAATAATAAAGTTTTCCGATCACGGATTGAGCAATTTCGTCATTTGCACTAAATATATTACCAAGAATGAACCATGTAACCTGCAAGATTATGTATTAATTCAATCTGACAAAAGTATGATAACTTGAATGATCTTTGGTCAGACAAACTATAAAACATGCTTCCTCTTACCATGCGCTATAGAGTCTGTGCTTCATCGTTTTGGCTACCATATCTTACCTGTTCACTTCTCCGATTTTCATGTATTTGCACTCGTGACAATGACCTCACAATACAATGTCAAATGTAAAATTAAGTCACAGCGGGTGACACCAGAAATGGGCTTCACACACTGTACCCATGTGGGAATCGAACTGGGGTCTCTGACAAGACGAGTGAATGCTTTAACCATGAGGCTACCCCACCACCCATTTCAGTGAATGAGAGATGTAAACATTCCCATTTTATCATGGAGTATCATCTTCATGTGGGAGGAAATTTTCACAGTGACGCAGGCTGTTGAAACACAGGGAATACGGGGGTGGTGCTGATAGCTAAGGGACCATAACTGGAGGAATCGGGGATTTGAATCAATAATCTGCTGATCCTGAAAGGTCTAAGGGACACAACTCTGGATTATTGCCTTACAGTTACAACTACTAACACCAGTGAGTCACCTGTGCCCGGTTTCTGCAAACTGGTACAGAGAAAACATAATGATGCAGCTGCCTACAAAATCATAGATCATATGATGAAGTGTTGTAATAGACAGTGTAGCCAGTATGACCATGCTGATATGAGCCGGGCGGGGCTGCCCTAACTTGCTTGCAACAATCAGAGATAACTGGAACAGCCATAGCTTTTTCTTCACATCAAGAGTGAGTGAGTGAGTGAGTGAGTTGGGTTTAACGCCGCTTTTAACATTATTCCAGTTATATCACGGTGTGTCAGCTTTACGTGGGAGGAAAGCCCGAAGTGATGCAGGTCTCAGACGTTTACCACTTAGGTGAAACCCACGAGCACGGGTATGGTGCTGACAAACCTAGAAACATAATCGGGGCGAACCAGGATTCGAACCCATAATCATAGATTTCTCTGCACAGCGAATCGTGGCGCCTTTGACGACTGGGATACCCGTGCCCCCTCACATCAAGACATGATAATAAAGGATACAATGTATTAAATGAGTGTTCATGTCCCACTATGTTTACGACACGAGTCGGGAAATACCGGAATTTAGACACTTGTGAAGTAAACATGGTAAATATAGTATGACATGAACACTCATACAATGTTCAATTTATTACCAAAGAAGATGTCTACCTACAGAGACAAAATTTAGTGTTAGCCTACAGTAGCGGAACCACAATTTGTCGAATGACGTCAACAATCTTCAGCTTTGACATCATTTCCAGTGTGACGTCATTCCAACCTCACGTCACAATAAGATTCAATGACGTCAACAATGCTGTCCGGATGACGGAAACAACACGCTGTTGTCTCGTGACACGATATGACCCTAGGGTACATATGATTTTTATGAACCCCAAATGTTTGCCCTCATAGGTAATAAAATACAGAACAATATTCAATTCAGTTTTGACATATTCGTATCCTAAAATACCTAAACTAAAAAACTCAAATATGTCTTCACACCACTAAGCTACTGTAACAGACACAGTCCGTCACGTCCACATGCCAACTTACCCAAGCAGTTGGATGCCACCAACTGTGTCTGTAGGAAATGTGAGCAGATGGTCCTGAGTGAGTGTAGTCCCAGGAGACTGGCCCCCTGGAGAATACTCTGCACATTCTCCACATTAATTTCTATGTTACTTGTGTACATGAAGTCAAGCAGCATCTCCATGGTGGTCGGCTCCACGCCGTGTATCTGGACACAGTCGCTGTCTGTCTCCAGCATCCCGTTGGTGAACATGGCCCGCAGGTACGGGCTGCAGCCTGCTAGGACCACTTTATGTGCATGGAACTTGGCGCCATCCACGCACAGGATGACGTCGCAGAGTTGCTGCTGCCGCCGCAGGTCTTGCATGACATCGAAAGCATTCTTGGCATGTGTTGGCACGCAGCAGCTGCGAGACTCGATCATGCCGGGCTAGCCAAGCAGGGGGCGATGAGGGGTCACCCTGCAATGAATGAGTGAGTGAGTGAGTGGGTGGGTGGGTTGGTGGGTGGGTGAGTGAGGCTAGCAACTGGCTGCATCAGGTTGTGTAATGGTATCGTATACTACAATTACACCTATCTCACCAACGGATCACACCGATTTGTGCACCAGATACAACTTATGTTGATACTGACACCTTAAAATCTTGTTTACAAAAGGTTCAACTAAAATATGGGTCAATACAAATAATGGGTGCAGTGGATTTCACTGAGCACATCTTTAAAAATCATTTAGCAAGATTAGTAAGATTCAAATTCAGCCGCATTATGTCAATAAATAAAAAAACAACATTAGCCAAGTTCATGATGTCAGCCCAAAGTTTCAAAACTAGAACGTAGTAATTAACATGTCTAAAATGTCTGCATAAATACTGAGGACTTTAACTAACATTAATATCTAATGATCTTAACAAAATGGGATGTTATAACAGGGCTCAATTTATCTATATAAAACATGCACCATTGCAACCTATTATTGAACAATGCAACCAAATATTTATGTCTACATGCATCAAATAAGTTTGTGTCCACACAGAATTGATCTTTGAACACTTTCAATACCTCTCAAGTTCATTCACTATACTACATCACTAAACCCTGTTTTGTGTGTAATTTGTCGTGCTTTCTTAGATTTGACGTGAATTAACTGTGGGTACTTCAAGACTATGTGCACATGTTCCTATTACATTTTCAGCAATTGTTACGTTACGTTTTTGGTGCAAGTTAAATCAAGTTCCTTAACTCTCGCCTGCATCGTAAGGAGCAACATACATGAGAAAGGTTAGCTCCCTCATACTGCTATGCCAGCATATTTCAAGGGAGAGGCTTCAAGAGCCAAATATGCCTATTGCGAGAATTTAAGAACATGGTCAAAGCAAGGTCAAAATTGAAAATATTGCAAAAAATGGAACAAATATGATAGAACTAAATTTATATGACTGCTATGGAGTCCATATTGAAAATCAGTGTGTCATCTTTGTTTAGAACAAGGATGCAAGGTTTGAGTGGTTTCTGAGGAGAAGCGTTTACATCTTACACAGCATGACAGACAAACACAACAAGGGCTTGCTTAACTTTCATAATTGACCATGAACTCCCATCGTTCAGTGCTGCATAAATTATTTTCTACAGTTATTATTATATTAACATACTGGCATCATCAGATCATGTAGCTTCAAATCCCTCATGTGATTAAAATGTGATATTATTTTCATATTTATTATGGTGATAGATTATGTGAGGAATAGATTAATTCCTGTGCACAGTAAGGAGGAAATGGCTGTCAACTGGAGCATTATGTATGCATTATGTATGCATTATGTATGCATTTTGTTTGCTATTTCCATACATTAATTTCAAATCCACATAACTTTTGAAATTATATACATTTTCCAGAATGTTTACAAAATCCCTATGCCAATTCTTATTGATATTTACAATAATGAAAAGTCATGAAAATTAATTACACTAGCACACTGGAAATAACATAGAAAGTGTATCATGCATGTGGTTTCATAAACACTTGGCAGTCAGTAAGTGGGTTGGGTTTATCGCTACATTTAACAGTATTCAAGTTACATCAAGGTGGAAAGCCTGTAGTGATGCAGGTCTCAGACGTTTACCATTTTGGTGAAACTCACAAGTACAGGTATGGTGCTGCCACCCTAGAAAACATAAATGGGGAGAACCTGGATTCGAACCCATGATCATAGGTTCTGGCACAAGCTCCTCACAACGATATACCGTTTGCGGAGCTCTCTACACTATAGCCGCCACAAGTCAAAGCTCCCCACTGTGATAGGCTACAACCATGCTTGGAGTAGAACTTGCAATCGACTGACTGTTATGTTTACAAACAAGTGATGACTGCCGTGACACCGAATACTCTTACCCCTGCTTAATTATTTTCTTTGTCAGTTTGAAATTCTGTTTCATTACAACTATTATGTAATTGGTATAGCAAGAATATAAGGGAGAAGTTGGTTGATTTTCTGTCCGTCTGCAATCTTGAACCAATCCGATCAAACAAACAAAAAGGTATATTCATCTGGGAAATATGGTCAGTAGTAAACCTTTTCAAAATTAACTGTGACTGCATTCACAAAGACATAAACAAAAATATAAACGTTACTACATGGGGTTAGAGAGCAAATTTCAAGATTTGTGTAATGGCCATGCCCACACTGGTGGCAGCGATGTTACCGAGAGTGTAACGAAGGTGTCACACGCTGGGAAGGAGCTTGGTTCTGTCATCCCCAAGGGATGCAACTCTGCACAGTGAATTTTGCCCCCATTTGGCATGTGTGGGTAGAGAACTGTATGCATCATATATATAATAAACCACGGAACTTTTTAGCAAAAATCATGCATAATCATTTCGAGGTCAATCACTGAAATATAACCATAGAATGGTCAATAAAGTTATTTCATCATCCAAAACTGGCTCCCACAGGAGATATCGCTTGGGAGAAATTGCATCACAATGCTTTGCAGACCATTCTGACATCATTGGTTACCATGATGTGACAATCAAATGACATCACTAATGGCTCTGCTTCTGAAGCTGTGAGCAGTAGTTTTTACACTTAGACACTGCTTATTACTGTCTAAAAACTGAAAAAGTTGGAAGAATGATGTTGGATGATAAATAAAATCTCACGCTCATGTCTTTTGACATCAAATATATCAACACTTGTTGATAAAAGTGGAAAAACACTTTTACTAACTCATATTGATATATTTGATATCAAAAGACATGAGGGTGAGATTCCCAATGTCCCTCGTTCAGGACCACATCCGACCAAAGAGGGAACAGGCACTATAATAACTGACAGCCTGGACAAAAAGGCGCCTCACCGCGCCCATTTCCTGATTCATACCCTCTTAGCCTTCTGCCATGAAGGGGGGTCGGTACAATGAATATGCATGAATTTCTCTAAGAAGTCCTGTGAATGAATGAATGAGTTTGGTTTTACGCCGCTTTTAGCAATATTCCAGCAATTTCACGGCGGGGGACACCAGAAATGGGCTTCACACATTGTACCCATGTCGGGAATCGAACCCAGGTCTTCGGCGTGACGAGCGAACGCTTTAACCACAAGGCTACCCGACCGCCCCTCCTGTGAATGAACATGAGTTAGTTGACAGTAACGTTAACAGAAATTATTGCGATGCCCATGACGATTGTACATACTCCATAAAATTAAATCATGCATATCACACTACATCATATATTAAGTTGTCATGTTTATCATTCAAAAATGTAAAATATGTATCTGATCCTTTAACGTCAACATAACATGACAAATGATACCATACTTCACTATTTCATCTATCACAAGTAGGAATCCTTTTTCTCTTTGTCGTTATGTGAAACAAAGGCACAAAAATAGCCATGACAACTGGAGGCAACGTGACAATGTCAACAGATGCATTGTTAGCACGTCTATGTAAGCATGATGTCGGGATGTTATTGAGTTATGACACATGACATGAACATAACAATCCGTCACTTGCGTTCTACTTGGAGTTTGGCCGACAGAGATACAGTCAAATAAACAACAAATGTATAAAATAAGGCACCTACAGCCACAAGACACGCGGTAGAGTAGTTGTCTCCGAGTACGAAACAAATTACTTCTTCGAAATAAACCGAGCACTCTGTTTTCGTGTTGTCGCTATTTGCGCTATGGCTAAAACGGCCCTCTGCCAAAATGGTCATTGCGAAAACATCCCAAACAGATTGGCGAAAACGGCAACATACATTTTTAGTGAGTGAGTATGGTTTTACGCCGCTTTTTGCAATATTCCAGCAATATCACGGCTTCACACATTGTACCCATGTCGGGAATCGAACCCGGGTCTTCTTCGTGACGAACGAACGCTTTAACCACTAGGTTACCCGACCACCCCTTTTAAATTGTATTATTTTAGAGAAACTTTATGGTGTGAAGGAACAAGGCAACACACATGGAGATTTCATCACCTGAACTTATTTGCGAACAATGGTAACAGTAATAGCTAGAAGACAATCAAATAGTTAGAATCTCAATCAAACAATTAACCTGTTGGGGGATTACACTAGGAGTGTGTGTTAATCCGATTGTTAAGTAATCACCTAATCTGTGGACTAATTAATCTGTTTTCTCAAGACGGCTAACGCAGTGACACAGGATTCACGGCTCTGTGACTGTATCAACCCCACTTTCGCACAGTGAGTTCCTGTACCTCAGACGATTTGATACTCGATCTGTGTCCCTAGTTTTGAGTGAGTGAGTGAGTGAGTACGGTTTTACGTCGCTTTAAGCAATATTCCAGCAATATCACGGCGGGGTACACCAGAAATGGACTTCACACATTGTACCCATGTCGGGAATCGAACCCGGGTCTTCGGCGTGACGAGCGAACGCTTTAACCACTAGGCAACCCGACCGCCCCCCTTGTTTTGAACAATGTTTAGCTAGGTAGATCTCTACACTGTACAAATTAATTTCTTTATAATGTCTGCAAAAGTGTTTGTAACATGCCTGATATGTTTGAAAAATTATCTAGATCTATGATGTTTTATACATGATTGAATACGAGGTTAAACACATAAGCGCCAATTTCTATCGTATTCGTTGTCTTTCTTTGACAGGGCCGTTTTTTCTGAACAAAACATGAGTCGTTTTGGCCAGGAGCCGTTTTAGCCAGTACCCGCTATTTTTCGGTCGAAAGAGAAGTTTCGAGTCGAGGGAGCAATTATTGTGTATAATGTAAACAGACAATTGTAAAGAGTATTCATTGGTATTCTGACAATGGAAACAAAGACGACTAGGTCACTAGAAAAAACAAGATGTTTGCCTGTTGGACAAGTTCTTGTTATTTCTAGGTCTAACACATTTAAAAAAAAAAAACAATGACAAAGATACCTGGTCAATAATTACCTCCCTGACAGAGAGAGTCACCAGCAAGTTAACTGATTATGTAGGTCACATAAAAGAATGTTAGAAGGCCCTCAAGTTTTCGAGATTTCATGACATCGTCTATGTTAGATATCTGTTTCATTGTTTTGTTAAATATGTCTTGTTTTTCGCCATGTTATTTTCCTCTGGACACACAGCTAGATATTGACCATTGTTAGTTTATTTTACTGATTTTGCATGGGACTGACGCAAATATATTTGGGCGTAATGTGCGAAACACGACGATGCTTTGTCGTCATTTAGTTGTATCACGGAATTTTGTCAGGAACGAATTATAGATAGTGGTCTGCAATAATAATTTCTTCAGTGATATTGCAAGAGTGACTTCCCTTTGACGTATTCAGGAAGAAGAATGAGCAAGAAGTTTGCTACAACTGTCTAAAAATTGATGCAAGACCAACTTTGTAATTAAAAGGTATGTGGGTGATAGGGTGTATAATACTGTTCTGTGGCGTGTATAATTCTGGTTCTGTGACTCTGGGGAGGACTTGGTATATGGTATGAAACATCGTGATACTGAGTGACAGGAGAATACAACGTGTATGTCCTATTTTCGATCACTAGGATAAAATAATAACTTCTTAATAAGTTAACCGTTGTAGTCAATTTGTTCACAAACTGCATTACTCGTTTACAAAAGTATTAGCTGACACTTTCACACACATATAGGCCTTCTCTGTTCACAAGATATATTCACAAATTGGCTTACCATTTCACAAATTGCCTGATCCGTACACAGTGATACAAAAAAGTATTGACGAGTTGTCAGTGTTTGTTCATGTAATGCTTGCCACTTGAATGACCAGCGTCAACACATTATTTAAAACATTTCGTATCATATTTACCCAGAAGGACATATTGCCTCAATTTAGGGCTGGGCTGTGTCCAAATATACTACCTAGCTGGGTACCTAACCCTACCTGCGTACTTGCTACAGGTCTCAAGACTTGAGAACACAATGTCCAATCTGTAATTGTTATGCTGGAGCCCTGGCAAAAACTATTAAGATACACATGATCATGCATACACCCAAGTTGACTGTTCAACAGTTTTGTATCCTTACTCAAAGATATTTAAGTTGGAAGAGATTTGTGAATGGTCACAAATTATTGTCATTTAACAATATATCATGTGACAAACCACAGGTCAGGATAGTGCTGTGGGCACCCCTGTCCTACTCAGGATCTACCCAACCAGAGTTACCTGTCCCAGCCCTCACTCATTTCTCACCTGTGATACTCGCCTGGAGGGGCGGTCGGGTAGCCTAGTGGTTAAAGCGTTCGCATGTCACGCTAAAGACCCCGGTTCTATTCCCCATATGGTTACATTGTGTGAAACCCATTTATTGTGACCCTCGCTGCGATATTGCTGGAATATTGCTAAAAGCTAAAACTCACTCATAAGGGGCAACTAAGTGGATTAGATGGTCCGACTTTGTGACTTGTTTGATTTACATGTGTTTGTGCCCCAACAGCATTTCTCCATCTATGCATGGTTTGTTTGTCACAGCATGTATTTACAGGTGACCTTGATTTTCCCGAAATATTGCTGTCTGCTGCATAAAACAACATGCACGTCTGAAAGGAATTTCCGTTTTGTTCCAGATGATGAGATACATAGTACCAGAGTTGTCATGGTGACAGATGGAGAACTACACAGAATGCATCAACAGTGACTGTGTTGGTATTGGCGTACCAGCATATCACGGCAGATGTCAGATGTGTCACCATGCTCATTATAATCCATTGCCAGAAATCAGTATAAGTGATGTTTCCCAACAAGACTTGACAGTTGAATCTGACCCTGTTGCTCCATTCAAGTGCTTGATAGAAAATTGTCCTCATTTTGGGAGCATTGATAAAGGACATTTATGCAATGAATGTTACAATACTCATCCTCACAGATGCAACACACTTCACTGTGAAAATGTCAGTCTTGCTAAGAATGACTATTTATGTAAAGACTGTCTTGAAAAACGTAAGAAATATTCACAGTTGGAAGGTGAAGGACATTCCACTGGAACATTTCAAGGTCAAGGACATTCCACTGGAACATTTCAAGGTCAAGGACATTCCAAGGGCACAGGTTCTGAAGATGGAGCAAGTGGAACATCCCGAGAGTGGAGCCATGTCAGACCTGGTGAAGAAACTCAGTATGTGAACCCTGTGTGGAGAAAGTGTCTTACTGCGGGCTGTGGCAATTCAGGTACTAGTGCCAATGGACTTTGTCTTCAGTGCTACTTGAGGCAAGTTGACAGTGAGGGGCAGGTGTCTGCATTCCATGTGTGTCCTGTGACTGGTTGCAACGAGTCAGGATATCAAAAGTTGCATGGTTTTTGCAGAAAATGTTACAGTGCTGGTAAGATCATGGATAAGATGGTAATAAAGAAGTCTTCTGTGGCTGAACATGCTCAAAAGGGTGAAATAAAATGCACCACAAAAAACTGTGATTTTTTCGGCCTAGAAGAACAGAATGGTCAATGCAGCAGTTGTTTCAATAAGTATCTGGATACTTTAACAATGGGTGCTCCAAGTCTTCCTCAAACTGCTGGAAATGACTCCTTATCAAGTCGATGTAGAACCCTTGGCTGTGAGTTTTTTGGTACCCCAGAAAGGCATGATCTGTGCAGCAGCTGTTTCAGAAAGACAGGCAGAAGGGAGAGAAGTCGTCATGCCAGTGGCCCCCCAGGGTACCTGAATCGGGCCCCTGCACTGCTGAATCTGCTTGGCAAAAGCAGCAGCAACAACAACAACAACAACGTCTCTAGCGCGTCTGGTGATACCACTCTCAACAGAAGTCAGGTCCAGGGTGTGGAATCCCGACCTGGAGGTCCTTCCAGCAGAGCTCATCCAGGAGCATCTGATTCTACCAACACGAACACTATTGTAATACCAGATATTCATGAGCCCGTCAACTCGGATGAACTGTTTGGAGAAGGACCCGACAGAAGCAGACCAACGATAAATATGAAAAGATCTTACAGCTCACCATCCGGGTTTACCGTGAGTGAAAAGGAATGCCAGAGGACGTGTGGGCGGAAATGTGTGGCTGAATGTGAACCTTATTGCATGAGCTGTTACGAAGATTTGAAACTGCAGCCACCCAGCAAGACTCAGCAACACCTCCTAGGGTCGTGTTTCCGCGCTGACCTTCGGTTTGCTAGTAATCCTTCTCTGTCGTCTCTGTCAGATGTGTGCGAGTCCCCAAGATGTGACAAGCCTGTGTCTGGCTTGGCCTACCCGCTGTGTCAAGGCTGTGCAGAGCAAGGTCAAGAGAGTAAGGCCAGACCAAATGGAGCTGATGAAGGTCGAGATAAGAATGACCCCGAGTCAGGGGAAGGTACTTGCACTATGAATGCACCTTTTTCAGAGCATGCTACACAACAAGGTAGAAATGTCTTCAGTGGTTAGTTTGTTTGTTCATCACTTAAATGACTTGGGTATGATTTGATTGAGGCTATATCAGTGTAAATGTTTCATGACGTATTGCTGTCCCATAGTCCTCGACACTTGAAACAGAATCATGAAATATCACAAAGATAACTGCATGTGTGCTAATACTTATAAAGTGCAAACAAGCCATTCCAGCAATGCGGGATATTATTTTCTGTAATAACAATAACTGCAAAGTGCGCTTTTCAAGAAATATATACTTTGCTAGGGATAAACATCATCAAGTTTGGATCACATGGTTACAATCTGGGTAAAAATCAACAGGTGACTGTGAGCGGATATATTTATCATCAAACTTGGTCGATTGGACTTTAAACACTACATCTGCACCTCTTTTTTCTTTTAGTTCATGCTAGTAATGAATGTGCACCGCACACACTGCCAAATATCAGTGATGATGTTTATTGCTAGCAAAATGGATTTAAATCTTTGAAAAGGAGACATTGCTGTTTTATCATTCCTGCAAGTAATATTCCTGATATGGCGTGTTTTCACTGTATAAGTATTAGCACACATGTATCTATCTTTTTTAATTAATCATCACGATATTTCATGATTCTATTTCTCAAGTGGAGAGGACTTAGTGCTTTTGTGATAGGTTGGTTGGAACTTGACAGGATTGTGATCACAATTGATTTGAACTTCTGCCAACATGAATGACATTAGCAGGATATTTTACCATGGATATTTTCCAAATTACCCTTTTGAAGTTGTTTGGCACATGTGACAAGAAGGCCAAGGTCATGAATGTGGTCAAGTTCAAGGATATAGATATAACACGTTCACATAACATTGAGGTTGTACTTTCTTTGTTGGTAATTATATTTTCGAAAACAAATTTAACTGAAACACTTGGAGGGGGCGTGATCAACCTTATCTTGAAATCAGAACAGATGAGTTTTTAATTTCACGCCCAGGTGCGTCTCGAAACAAATCGAATGGGATTCAAACCCGTATAATGACATTGCTGGGTCATGCCTCAGTACCCAGAACTACTTCATTTGATTTTTGTGGCCATTTTGTATGACAAAAAATCATCCAATATGCATTTTCAAGATGTTTCAGTATAGTATTTAAGCCATGTCCGAAAATGTTAGGCCAAGATCAGCCAAAGGTCAAGGTGATTGTTCTGTTCAAGGTTATGATAAGACTTGATTTGGTCAATTCAGTTTCTATGGCACTGGTACTATTAGCATGATATGTTGTTTTTTTAGTCCTACCACACCAAAGGGTAGTGATCAGATGATCTAATACTTCATATCTTCTTGTTTATTCAGGTGAACAATCTGATGGCTTGTTGCCTGAAAAGAAGATGATATCTTTGAAGCCTTTGTCCTTGATGCAGACAGACCTGTGCAGCATCAAGTGTGATTTCATCATCTGTCTGTGGAATAAACACAATATTGAAACCGGTAAGGAGATTCGTACTTCATAATATAAGATAGCTACAGGATAAATCGCAAAGTAACCATGGTAACCTTGATCACTGTGTCAAAGTGACCATTAATCCAGAATAAATCACGATCACTTCAGATAAAATAATTTATCAAGTTTGTTGCAGGAAACCATCCATTGCTGGATAAGATTGGAGAAGTGACTCAGACCCGAGATGTTTTTAGTAAGTACTATCAACCACAACTAACTATGTTAATACAACACACTGTTGCCATCCCCAATGAAGGTCCAGATTAGATTAGGGTTTCAGCAACCAATGCTTGTCATAAGAGGTGACTTACTCGCTGATTTGGTTGATGCATGTCTTTGTATTCCAATTGCGAAGAAAGACCGCCTCCGTGGTCTAGTGGCAGAGCATCCGCCCGGAGAGCGGAAGGTCCGGGGTTCGATCCCCGGCCGCATCATACCAAAAGACGCTAAAAGATGGTACTTGTTGTTACCCTGTCTGGCGTTCGACGTTAAAGGGCTAAAACAAGGACTGGTCGGCTTGGAGTCAGTATACTGTGTCTCAGTGGGGTATTCATGTTAAACTGCGGCATGGTATCTCAGTGTGCTAACACTATAAATCGGCATCAGTCCGGACTAGTACAAGCAGCCACAAACACACACACGTGCATGCACGTCGCTATAATCTTGGACGCGACGTTAAATCCCATTTCACCTCACCTCACCCAATTGCAAAGATCGATGCTCATGATGTCACTCACTGGATTGTTTGGTCCAGACTCGATTATTTACAGACCTTCACGCAGCTGGAATATTGCTGAGTGCAGCATTAAACAACAGAGAAACAAACACTATTATCATTAAGCGTCAGTTTCAGATCTTCACTCCTTATCATTCTCTATTTGACAGTGTGTGTGTGAATGGACAACATGATTATCAGGTATCTACAGAAGTGTTTGTTTGTTTACAGAAACGTCTCTCTCACACAACAAGGTGTTTGAGACAAGTGGAGGCCTGTCAAAGGCTGGTAGTGTGTTTCACTGTAAATATGACCATGCAGTGGACATACAGGTGGCCAATGCCCTACTCAGGTGTGTCAAGCAGGGAGAAGCGGAGGCCAGTAAGAAGGCCACACAGAAAACCACACAGAAGGCCACACAAAATACTGTCATGCTGTTTCCAGTTGCCTACATGGGTGTGTAGTCTTTTTTCATCTGCCTTTCACTGAAATAGCTAACTTCCTGATAAAGGATTTCAGCTTTACATGAAAATCCATATAGTCATGAAAATAGCTGAATAAGAATTCAGCACATCCAAAACTGCCAATCAGTCTGACTTTGGTGAAGTTCTTCCTAAAGTTGACTAAACTTCTAATTTTGTTATTTGGCCTTATTAGCCCTTAACCTTTTGACCAGTTAAGCAGTGGTAATTATTACAGGATTATTACTGGGGGCCCAGCCATCTAAGGCGCTGTAATTTGCTGGGTATGTCAGAAACCTATGAACATGGGTTCGATACCCAGTTCGCCCTGATGACATTTCTGGGTTTGTCAGTACCATACCTGTACTTGTGGGTTTCACCAAAGTGGTAAATATCTGACTTTCCTCTCACATTAAGCTGACATGATTTAACTGGAATACTGTTCAAAGCAGCATTAAACTTTTTCATTAGGTAGATTTGAATCATTTAGATATTAAAAGTCCATATTTCTTTGAAATAATTGTACTTTGTTTTTGTTTTTCAAAAGAACCTTTTTTCTTCTGCTGTGGTTGGAATCAAGGAAACTAGACTTGCTTTAGTTTGATCTAGACTTGCCAAGGCTTTAAGTGAGAAAAAAATCAATATCAATCTATCAGGATGCAGGACTTGATACAGATAAACAGACATCCTTAAGTTTCATCTACTTGGAATCTAAGTAATGTCAAAGAGATGCAGTTTACCGCAGCTAATATTTCTATCAAATCCCATGTTCAGAGGACCTGCGAGGAGATCCGGCCATGTCCACCCGAGTGAGCATGTACGTGATATCTTACATCCAGAGTGTCACCGGCTTCACACAGATGCTCAGCAAGTTCTGGCTCTGTGTCGACTCCCCCGACACCAGCAACAAATGTAAAGAAGAATACATCAGAGTCAAGGAGGAGAAGAACAAAGATATACATAAAACCAATCAATCAGGTAAGTAGGCTGTTTAGTGGTATCTTGGTTACTTGTGTGTTGATTATCTCCCCTCGTCTGTTTTTCTTGATGGATGTGATCAGGTTTGAAGTTATGTTCTCAGTGTGAGTTTCTGTAATGGAACTTGTTGTGAATCAGGAGGTTGGTATGCCATACTTAGTGTATAAGTAGCACTTGATGATAACATTCTTGGTCCCTGGTACTGGTAGAAATCTAATTGATTGATGACTGGGAATATTTTGTGGCACACATCTCTTGATTCCAACAAGTTCACCATATCAATGCACTTAACCTTATGCCTATTGTGGATGGGGACATCTTCCAAAGGCAACTGACTTTTAGGGAGCTAAGCTGGAATTTCGTGGCTTGATCGTAGAGTCACCAGTAGCTATTACATGTTTTTTCCCTTCTGTGTCCCTCGTTATGAGATTCCACCTCCTATATCACTTGCATTTGCTTCAAACAAAATGGCAGCGTTCAGTCAAGACAATGTGATCGATAAGTAAGATCTTACCTTGTGAAGTGCATCAAATCATTTGAGCACCTTGATTAAAACATGAAAAGATTACGAAAATATGTCGACACCCATTTGACGGTACAAATGCTCTGCTAATCCTTCGATCGACTGAATCTTCACAGCAGTCAGACTGGATGTTGATTTCGTTACATGATTTTGAGTGGACTATGCATTGACTCGTTAGTCCAGCCAAAATGTAACTCCATACTTCCAGCCCTGTTCGGCAAGGGTGGAAATTGGACTTTTACAGTCAGTTGGGACCCTTGCCTCAGGAAGATGGGATCGGGATTTCAGTGTCAGATTTGAGAAAATCAAACATGGACAGCCTGAACTATGATTGATCTTTTAACAGAATAGAAATTCCTGTTATATTTAACATGCACTCCACTACAGAAAAATTTGATCACTTGATAATGAGACCAATGAAGATCAGGGCTATAATTGGTCTTCAGCAACCCATGCTTGCCATAACAGGCGACTATGCTTGTCATAAGAGGCGACTATGCTTGTCGTAAGAGGTGACTAACAGGATTGGGTGGTCAAGCTTGCTGTCCTGGTTGATGCATGTCATCATATCCCAATTGCGTAGATCCACACTCATGATATCAATCACTGGATTATCTGGTCCAGACTCGATTATTTACAGACCACCAAAATATAGCTTGAATATTGCTGAGTGTGGCATTAAACAACAAGCACACAAACAAACAATTGTTGATGACTCCTACAACCATGCTATTTCACATTTACAATGTGAACTGTTTTTGTCCAGTGTGTCTCAGTGTATGTGCAGTATTTTGTGTCCAGTCGTCCAGGCAACATCTCACTGCTTCATCTATCCACCATGGGGATTCCAGGATAGAGTGGACCCCACATTGCTGACTGTCATGACAATGATGTGGTGCCTTCGTCATTTAATCATTGTGTGAAACATTATATTTCAGGTTGTCACCAGTGCAAGAATTCTCCAGCAGGTGAGTATCATTCTTCCTACTAAGTTAGTCTTCAACATTCTCCACCGACAGGCAGCTTTTTAAATATCAAAGGTTTTCCTATTTTTTTATAAGGACTTGTGACTAAAGTGTGATGATCGACCTCATGCAGGATGCCATTATGTTTTCAGTTGACTTTTTTTTTCTTTACATTTTTATTGCATGTAGATAATTTTTTTCCAGTTTTCAGTATACTGTTATGAAATAATAACTTTGTCTTCTTTGTAGCCAAGTTGAAGCCCTTATCTGAGACATGTACGGATCACTGTGCAGTGTTTTGTATCCAGTGTTTGAAGATCGGCCGCCGTGACCGGCTACACTGTCCCCGACATGGTCCATGCTTCTCCCCAATAGGTAGTGTGACTTCCACATTGATGTGTATTAAGGGTAAAGTGACCCCAGGGCCATAATAAACATGCCAAATGGATTATTATGCAGTTTCTTTGTATGTGAGGAAGGCGATTTTTTTAGAAAACATCAAAACATCTGTGTATTTAACTGTCAACAAATGTGATTCTCTTTAGTGCAGGGATGTGAAATCTCTGCGGACACAAGGAAAATCACGTTTTTTAGAACAGTTGTCCTCTGAAAGAATCATCTTCCACGTAAAATTATAATCAAAGATTTATAAAAAATTATCATGTTTCAGACTTTTGACCGATAGAAATGCTAAGCAAGGCATCACACATGTCATAGTTTCATGATTAAAAAGTAAATAGTAAGGATTATTCCTACTTACGGTATCGATTTTAGTGACAATGAGTGAATTTAACTCTAGTTTCCTTGAGGTGAAAGCATTATCTCTACCTCTGAGTCTACAAAAGAATGGTATGTTTCTCGATGTTCTCCAGGCCATGAAAACACATATGCCATTCTTGTGGCTGGGCTTGACAAATCTCCCAAAGTAACGGAACTGTTTGTCAAGGATGCTGAGTACCTGAGCAGGGCATTGCAGAGTGAGGACATCATCGGAATCAGGTGAGTAGCATGTAACCATGGTAACCCTTACATCTATTTTCAGTTAGATATAATTGGTATAGTATGAATGTAAGGGAGAAGTTGGGTGATTTTCCGTTAGTCTGCAATCTCGAAATTGGGAAACGCGGTCAGTCGTAACCTATTCAAAACTCACTATAATGGCATTCCCAAAGACATAAACAAAAATATAACTGTGACTGCATTTGGGGTTAGAGGGCAAATTTGAAGATTCTTGTAATGGCCACTTCCACACTGACGGCAGCCGAGAGTGTAAAGGATGTCTTCAGGTCCATAAAAAACTGGCAGTGGCAAGTCCCCCCTTACCAATTTTCCTTTTCCTTATCTCGATGTTTGATTGGTCGATAAAATCTTCATGAAAATCAAGAGCAGGTAATTTGAGATCGCGAGAACTACAGGAGTGGATCTAGGGGTTAGTGTCGGTTTACCAAATTGCGAGCCCTGGCGATACAGAGGATGTCTGTAGGATGTTTTGACTGTATTGTTTTGGCCACAGGAAGGAGAACATACGGGTCATCACCCCTGCTACAGAAGGATCCATGTACGAAAAGGTGACAAAAGCTTTCTCCACTCTGCAGAAAAAGATCCACCAAAACCAGGGCCCATCTTTCTTCTATTTCTTCTATTCTGGGCACAACGACAAGACGTCACTGAAACTGGGGAAAGGTAACGATACAATCACCCCGAGGAGATTGAAACGAGAACTCAGCAAGCTGGACGTGGAGAAGATTGTGATCATTCTGGATTGTTGCTACAGCGCCGGAGCAGACATGACAGTCGAGGTTGACGAAGAGGATTTCTCGTTGTCAATAGGTAGCTGCTCAAAAGATGACACCGAACCGGAAATATATGTTCCCAAATTGTGGAATCTAGAGGAAACAGAGGAGTCTGGGTCAAAAGGAGGAGACACCTGCGCGTCCCAGTGGTCATCGTCCATGAGTGAGGAGAAGTCCTACTTTGGCCATGAACAAAGCTTCTTCACGTGTAGCATTGTGAAAGCATTGAATGCAAAGTGTCCCCTTGACAAAGATCGCTGTGGGCAGTGTCAACAGTTCAGACAAGAAGTGATGAGGGCAGATGGAGTGTTCTTGAAGACAGTTCATGAAAGCGTGGATTACCACGTTCAGATGCTGGCACAGAAGAAGTACAGACAACAACATCCTCAGCTCGAGGGCAGCCATGATGATGTCCTCCTTGCATTCCATCGTTTCTGAACATGATGGTCTGTAGGACTGAAACACAAAGTGATTGTAGAGCGAGGGCTACCAGTGCTCTAGGCTGAAGTATGGGAGTTAGGAGGGTGGGGGGGTCGGGGTCAGGGGGTAAGAGGGTAAGATTAAGGTGGGTCATGAAAAGATTACACTGAAAGAGGTTGGGTGGGGGAATCACTATAGGGGGGCATGATAAATTAACATTGTTATATAATCTCCAATAAATCTCAAATAATTTTGTTAAAAATATGAACATTATTTAGGTACTGCTCAAATATTATAGGGAGGGGAGTAATGAAAAAGTGTTTCATGTATTGGGGGAGGGGCAATAAAGAAAATGTGCAATTGCTACGCTGGCTTCGTAAAACAGGTTCCAGGTTCTGATGACATGGCATTGAAGGTCAGTATTCTTAAAGGGGAGCTCCATCACCTTAAGCCTAGGTCTAAGGTCTAGACAATGTAATTAGTGACAAACTCAGACATTATCTGTGATCTAGGTAATCATTATGTGCTAGACTGATATACGGCATAAAAGTTGGGCATTGACTGACTTGAATCAACACTCAACAAATGCCAATTGGCCCAAGTCTACCGGGTAGTCCCCCTTTAAGTAACACTTTAGGAAACATATTGTTCTCCAAAAATCACTCATTATATACTGAAAGTAAGGGGCCATGAATATTTTCGGGATATTTAAAAAAATAATTGTTTGCTCAAGCCATCACTACAAAAAGATGTCCCCCAAAATAGTAATTATCCCAACCCTTTTTGTTCAGTATATATATACTTATGTACATAATAGTTAATAATGGCTTTGTAAATGCATGAAACATTTTAGATATTGACTGTACAGTCATGTTCATTATGTATAGAGAACATTCCTTTTGTTATTTTGTTTAGTCAAACAAGGAGAAAGTGGGTACCCTGTTATTGGTGATACGTTTAGGGGATATGTTCAAGTGATGTGTTTAGGGGATATGTTCAAGTGATGTGTTTAGGGGATATATTCAAGTGATGTGTTTAGGGGATGTATTCAAGTGATGGGCAATCTATTAAAATCAGGTCTTCGTTCTCGCTACCGCTAAAAAAAGAAATGAGAACATCATCCCAACCATGCGCAAACTTTGACCGACCAATGGAATGACCAATCAGAAGGCAGCTTTCTCTTGCTTTACGGCACTAATTTCTAATTGGCGACTACACTTCGAAACATATTTTGACAAATGCTTGATTAAAAATTTTAAACCTGAACAAAAAGACATTCAGGAATGGCTAATAGATGGTCATTAAGCCTGTTCGGAATACCCCATGTTAAAGTTTTCGAGGTGGATTGATTAATAATCACATTCAGACTGTCACTTTCATGACAAGCTCTTTTCTGTTTGCCCGGATGAAAGGTTGTTCTGACGTGACCCCTAATGGGATGTCTTCAGATCTTTCTTTAGCGGTAGCAAGAGCTAAGATATGATTTTAATTAGATTGAAGTGATGTGTTAAGGGGATATGTTTTAGTGATGTGTTTAGGGGATATGTTTAAGTGATGTGTTTAGGGGATATGTTCAAGTGATGTGTTTAGGGGATATGTTCAAGTGATGTGTTTTGGGGATGTGTTCAAGTGATGTGTTTAGGGGATGTGATCAAGTGATGTGTTTAGGGGATATGTTCAAGTGATGTGTTTAGGGGATATGTTCAAGTGATGTGTTTAGGGGATATGTTTAAGTGATGTGTTTAGGGGATATGTTCAAGTGATGTGTTTAGTGGATATGTTCAAGTGATGTGTTTAGGGGATATGTTCAAATGATGCCTTCACTGGGTGACAGCTTGTCAAGGAAGCCAATGAGCAATGGATCCCCCGATAAGACATGGGTAGTGTTTGTCCATGAGGAAAAACAATGTGATGAAAAAGCTGTTGGCTAGGGCCTACAGTGGTGAACTGCAGTTCTGAATGTGGGGTTAAGTCCTGTCAATTTCTGAATGGAATCATTTCAAAACGTACACATTACAATGATTTCCTAATTTGAACGTTTGAAGGCAGGAATAGTTTGGATAACCATGCTTTAGTGTTAAAAAAATATGAAACAAAATCACAATTGCATGCATAATCATGTCTGGTTGTCCAAATACTTTCTGAGGGTATCTAAGCATGTAGACTGCTTACATATATTGTGCAGTGTAATATCTGTTGTTGCCAGCTCGTTGCTGGTGTTGAATTTCATAATATCTTGTAAAGATTTTATATATATTTTTGTTTCTGTTCTTTTGTTTGTATATGTATATTGTTATTGCTCCTATTGCTAGCTGGTGCTTTTTGCTTTAGAGTACCCACAAAAGCAATTCTATGAATCTGTATGGTATCCATATATCTGCCAATCAAAGAGCTATGTTGTACGTCATGTCAGTAGACGAGGGTTGCTTTGTGCAATACTAGATTTTCCACTCTGTTTGTTGATCCCGTGACAAAGGACACGCTAAAGGACACGCTGCTGTCAAGCTCATTGTCGAGTGATCTAGATATGTATATTTAGCCACAGTTCCGTACACCATTGTGACTTGTTGATTGCCTGCTGGTGGCAGACAGACAGTGGGAGTCCAGTGTGTGCAGATCGGTTGTGACGTGCCCAGACAGATCAGCAACAGTCACAATCTCGTGTTACGGAATAGGGAATATTCATGCTAATTGTTATACATGTTATATAATGACAAATTATCATAGTTGATTTTAAGAAAACCAGGTATTTATCATATTTATAGAATATATAAAACTTTGAACCAATGAAAGGGCATTGTATATTCATGTATATTGGCAGATGTATAATGGATGTTCTTACAAGAAACGTGTGTAATTTACATATAAATCATTCTGACCCACTCAAGGTATTATGTCATAATGAGCGGATGAGGATGTTTTGTAAACAGGAATTTGTAAAGATATTTTGTTATCACTACTCCAGCACGTCCGATTAAAATGATCTCCGTGTTTTATGATGAATTTATTTAATCTTTAATCAGTCATTGACCTACACCATGTCTCCCAACAACAAGCCAAGTCAAAACCTGCATGTCGTGGGTTAATCGGTTTCATATTCAGCACAGTATGAAAAACAAAAAAATACATCTGTAAGTCATAATGGGAGGAGGGAGAGTTTTGATAGAAAAAATCCCAAATAAAGTTGTTAAAGCAGCAGTACAGTCGACATTTGACCACATACGTGATTTTGAATGTTGTTTTCATAATGGACATGATGTCATAATGAACTGTAGAATAGCCCAAGCGTTGTGGCAACAGTGTCACCTTCAAAAGTGGTAAGGACCGCCTCCGTGGTCTAGTGGTAGAGCGTCCGCACGGAGAGCGGAAGGTCCGGGGTTCGATCCCCGACCGCGTCATACCAAAAGACATTAAAAGATGGTACTTGTTGTTACCCTGTCTGGCGCTCGGCATTAAGGGGCTAAAACAAGGACTGGTCGGCTCGGAGTCAGTATACTGTGTCTGAGTGGGGTATTCATGTTAAACTGCGGCATGGTATCTCAGTGAGCTAGTATTATAAATCGGCATCAGTCCGGACAAGTACAAGCAGCCACACACACACACACACGTACATGTACGTCGCTATATAAGTGCAATAATCTTGGACGCGACGTTAAACTCCATTTCACCTCACCTCACCTCACAAGTGGTAATGATGGTAATGCCTGAAACATTATGTGTACCAGATGTGTCCATTCCATAAGCAGTGACTGCACATTTGACTCGCTGACTAGGTTGATGCATGTCATTATATCCCAGTTGCGTAGCTCGATGCTCATAGATACTCATGATGTCAATCACTGAATTGTCTGGTCCAGACGTTACTTTTTACAGACCACTATCATAGAGCTTGAATATTTCTGAGTGGGGCATTAAACAACAAACATACAGATAATAACTGATTTTATAACCTACAGAGCCATTATCATTGGATGTTTTCGGTCAGTTGATGTGTTCCTGTCATTTTGCTGTACAGAATTACTTAATAGAAAACCAATGGAATTATGCAAGATTATTTTTACCTTTGTTTACCACCTTGCAATTTGAATAAAAATGCAACAAAACATGCATGCTTTTCTTTGTCTTTAACAACTTCAAAGATCTCGTCATGAAATGTGACTAGCCTATAACCCCTCTGCTGTTCAGCAACAGCGGAGTTTGTGCTCCGAGCCTTCAACAAGAAGAACCTCATCTACTTCTCGATATGAGTGTTAAATAGTTAATGTAGAACAAAGATCTGCACTACACTCGAGACACGTGAAGATCCGAGTTAAAACTGATCTTCAGAAGTCCCTGCTTGTCGTAAGTGAGTGAGTGAGTGAGTTGTGTTTAACGCCGCTTTTAACAGTATTCCAGTTATATCACGGCGTGTCAGCTTAATGTGGGAGGAAAGCCCAAAGTGATGTAGGTCTCAGACGTTTACCACTTCGGTGAAACCCATGAGCACGGGTATGGTGCTGACAAACCTAGAAACATAATCGGGGCGAACCGGGATTCGAACCCACAATCATAGGTTTCTGGCGTGTCCAAGGGACGCAACTCTGCACAGCGAATCGCGGCGCCTTAGACGACTGGGCCACCCGTGCCCCCGCTTGTCGTAAGTGGTGATTAACGTGATCGGGTGGTCAGGCTCGCTGACATGGTTAATGCATGTCATCATTACCCAATTATGTAAAACAATGCTTATGATGCCTATCATTGGATTGTCTGGACCAGACTTGATTATTTACAGAACGCCATCAAATAGCTGGAATATTGTTGAGTGCAGCATTAAATAACAAACAAACACTGGACTCGAGATCTCCATTCTCCAATACTCATTATCCTTAATGCCTATCCTATTCCTTCAGTATTCCTCTCTGTTACTGATCATGCAACTTTATGTAGGCGAATTCAGATGCTCAGAATGCTTCAAATGATCCTATAAGTCTGCAAATTATTTTCTGTTATATAAAATCAGTGATAATAAAATTATATAACTTCTAGATAACAGACTGGTAATATGCTGTTGGAACTTCCACTGTTATTGTATCCTTCATGTTGACTCATGGGGTGCATGCTGTCTCTAGCATGGTCATATTGACCTAAATACAATCTCATAAAAATCTCATTTACGCTACCGCTAAAAAAAGAGATCCCATTTCGGGTCACATCAGAACGACCTTTCATGCCACCATTCAGATCGTCCTTTACCAGATTAGGAAACACATTCTGACTGCCACTCTGCCAGTCATGGAACCTTGAAAAAGGTTAACACGGGGTATTTCAAACAACAGTTATGGACTGATTCCATCAAAATCGACGTCTATCTCTTGCTTTAGGGATAAACAGAAGAGACTTTCCATAACCGGTAGAAGCTCCGCCATTTTCAATCGTGGCATCTGTTAGATATTCCAGAAGTATTATTTTTTCAGTTTCAAATATTCGATTGAGAACTCAATCAAAATAATTTTCAAAGCATAGTATGGAATTGAAACTAGAGGTAAAGTAAAGCTCGAGAAAGCTGCTTTTTTATTGGCTTATGTCAACTTCCTTTTAGTAATTTCATTGGTCGCTCAAAGTTTGCAAAAGATCGTTCTGACGTAACCCGTAGTGGGATGTCCTTTGGTGTTTGTTTTGCAGTAGCAAGAACTGAGATCTGATATTATTAAGACTGACCGTAAGAAATCTATTAATCATAAGGCATATATTTCAATTTCTCATTCCTGGTCTATTTGGCAGAGAAGAGTAATATCACCAGAAATGGGCTTCACACATTGTGCCCTTGTGGGAAATCGCACCTGGGCCTATGGTGTGACAAGTGAAGGCTTTAACCACTAGACTACCCCCTCTTGTTTTGAAAGGTAATTGTGTGTAACATGTAAATTGAAAAACAAACACTTTCACTTTGATTAACATTTTATACAATTACACAATATACAATTATATTTACATGAAACACAAAATACAAATAAAACATGGTAAGAAGGTACAGCCATACAAAGCATTTGACAGTATTTTGAAAATAACATAAAAGAAAACTTGCAAAAAGTCATCTCCTTTTGTAGTTCTTTAGCTTTCTTCTACAGAACATGAAACATTGTCCATATTTCACTATCACTAGTGTCAGTATAAACATATATCACAGACAGTCATAGTCATAGCAATAGACAGTGGAGTCCCAGTCGGAGGCAATGATTGGCTCTTGTAGCTGGTGATATCCTCCATATTTCTCTCTTCTTGACTAGGTGGAATATTATCCCTGATTCTTATTTAAAGTGTATTACCCACAAATGCATCAAGAAGCACTGTACCTTAAAACACATACAGGTAATAAAATGTCCAGTGGAACTGTTTTTAAGACACTGGAATTGTCCTTCACTGGTGTATTTGAACCCTGCCTCACTTTGAATATGACCTTGACCCTGCTCATTCATGATGCCTTGGGTCGTCTTGTTTACCTATGGTTCTTTTCATGTTCACAAGTTAAAGGTGAATATAAATTTTGACTGACACATATTGTTCTATAATAGACTGTTTGGTTGATAATTGGGAATTGAGTCTTACAAAAATATATAGTATTTCTTCCCACAGGCACACAAGCATGACAGCCGCATATTGATGTGGAAACACTGATCATAACAAGTATGATAGAGGACATGACTCCAATGCTCAGTACTTTCCTGTTTGTTGCACAGAACACACTGCTGAATATTCAGCTTCAATATCACACATTCATCATGGACGGTGAAATGTGTCAGGTCCAGGCACAATACTGTATAAGACTCGTGCTTGATACAATCTCCATGTTAGTTCAGTCAAGGTGTTACTTGATCTTTCCCTATGAACTGGTCATATCCTTGATTGGGGCTATGGACACTGGAATGTACAGATGAAAATTGTTGCACAACTTCATTATCAAGGCCAGGTAAATTAAGTGATGGCTCTGTCAATGCTCATGAATCGTCTTACATCAGCTCGTCAGTTGGAGAACCATCATACAGGTTTAAATTCAATTTCTGTGCAAAACACATCTTCAGGAGAGTTGTTCGCCCTTGAGAAGACCTTGACCTTGTCAAATTAAGTGATGGCTCTGTCAATGCTCATGAATCATCTTACATCAGCTAGTCAGTTGGAGAACCATCATACAGGTTTTAAATTCAATTTCTGTGCAAAACACATCTTCAGGAGAGTTGTTCGCCCTTAAGAAGACCTTGACCTTGACCTTGTCTTGACCATCACACTGACAGTGACCTTCAGTTGAAGCCTTGATGGACACCATTAGGTCGCAGACTCCTCAGCTGAGGACAAAATATAATTTGTTGGTTCAAATAGAAAAGGAAATAACATAAGACTTCATGAATATTTCTAAACAAAGTTCTCACAAATCTCTGATGCAGTTATTATTGTAAGGCCTAAAAGATGAACAGTAAGTTTTTGGTTCCCGTTACCTGCTGACAAAAAACATGGTAAGTATGTAAAAAGAGTATGCAGAGCTCCAGATAAGCTGCGTATCTGTGTAAAATACGCATCAGAAATGCAGAAATATGCAGTAAAATAAAATCCAAGCGTATCAAATACGCAACGAACATTACAGATATGCTACAAAAATAAGAATTACTGATAGAATTACTGATACCCAATGATTTTAAAATGCATGGGTAAAATACCCACAACACCGAAAGCTTATCTGGAGCTCTGGTATGTCTTGAATTTAAAATGAGAACAGGATTCGTACAAATAGATGAAACATTCTGAACATGGTCAAAGTGCAATAAATAGGTTTGGGTTAGCAGATGTCAGAGATCCAGAGCCAAGAAAAGTTAACTTTTAGACCAATTTAAAGTTATTACTACTATACTTGAAGCATTAAACGACCATACTTAAAGCATTAAACGACCATACTTAAAGCATTAAACAACCATACTTGATGCATTCAACTGCCATACTTGATGCATTCAACAACCATACTTGAAGCATTCAACTACCATACTTGATGCATTCAACAACCATACTTGAAGCATTCAACTACCATACTTTATTCATTCAACAACCATACTTGAAGCATTCAACAACCATACTTGAAGCATTAAACGACCATACTTAAAGCATTAAACAACCATACTTAAAGCATTAAACGACCATAATTGATGCATTCAACTGCCATACTTGATGCATTCAACAACCATACTTGAAGCATTCAACTACCATACTTTATTCATTCAACAACCATACTTGAAGCATTCAACAACCATACTTGAAGCATTAAACGACCATACTTAAAGCATTAAACAACCATACTTAAAGCATTAAACGACCATAATTGATGCATTCAACTGCCATACTTGATGCATTCAACAACCATACTTGAAACATTCAACTACCATACTTGATGCATTCAACAACCATACTTGAAGCATTTAACTACCATACTTGATTCATTCAACAACCATACTTGAAGCATTCAACTACCATACTTGATTCATTCAACAACCATACTTGAAGCATTCAACTACCATACTTGATGTATTCAACAACCATACTTGAAGCATTCAACTACCATCCTTGATGCATTCAACAACCATACTTGAAGTATTCAACTACCATACTTGATGCATTGAGCACCCAGGGTGCAAAAACATTTCCAAGGTGTGGGTGGTGTTATTGACCACATTCTCAACTTGGTTTTAGCTTATGATGCTGAATGTTTTCATAATAAAGGACGTTGTTTAAGCCCGGCCCTTAATGAGGCATTTAGAAGCTGGACATACATACAACAAGGAATACTATGAGTGAGTGAGTATTTACGCTGCTGTTAGCAATATTTTAGCAATATCATGGGGGGGAAGAGATACCAGAAATGGACTAAAGACACTGAACCCTTGTGGGGCATCAAATCCTGGGTCTTCAGGACGAGCAAATTCTTTAACCACAATCCCACTGCCCCAGGAATATAAGTTTTATTTATATTTTGTATAAACACAACAGTTGAGGGCTACTTCTTGAAAGATGATGAAGGGGCAGGAAGTAGTTCTTAATCTTTGTGTAAATACAAAAAAGAAATGGTTCTCCATAATATTCCTTGCCTTAGGGACGTTATCAAATACAGGTTATTACATGCTACATTCTTTTCAAACGTAAACTGTGATACGTGAAGATGTCATGCAAAACAAATGCCACAAACCCAAATGGGCACAGTGATGGATAGCATATCCATCGTCCATTAACACAGAAACCAGGACTCCTGGTGCACATGCCAAAATAAGATGAGAACAGAACAGGTGTCAACAGTCTGTGCAGAACATGAGGTTAACGCTGCTTTGAGGTGAGGTGAAATGGGGTTTAGTGTCACTTTCAAGACTACTGCACTTATACAGCGATGTGCCTGTTTGTACTTGTGTGGACTGATGTCATAACTGTGCTAGCCCACTGAGATACCATGCAGCAGTTAAACATGGCTCCCTCACTCAGACACAGTATTTTGAGGGGGCACGGGTGGCCCAGTCGTCTAAGGGACCGCGATTCGGTGTGAAGAGTTGCGTCCCTTGGGCACACCAGAAACCTATGATTGTGGGTTCGCACCCCGGTTAACAACAAGTACCATCTTTCACTCTCCAGGCTGCTTTGAATGTTTCGGTCATGTCCCAGCACACTGACTAACGTGGGAAGCAGCTCGTCCTCCACTTATATGAAACCAACAACCACATGTATGGAAGCTGACCTTACCACAATAAGCGAGTTTCTACTACATCTATGACGCAGACATAACATGGTGTGACGTATCCAAAACCAACGTGCACCAACACAAAACCCTGGAGTGATACACAGTCATACTCACATCAGTTAAACTGTTGAAACAATAACATTGTGTCACATTATTCTTGGTATCAGGCTCATTTATCTTGTTTGTTTGTTGTTTAACGCCGCACTAAGCAATATTCCAGCTATATGATGGCGGTCTGTATATAATCGAGTCTGAACCAGACAATCCAGTGGTTGACATCATGAGCATCAATCTATGCAATTTGGATATGCTTACAAGTCAGCACGCCAGACCACCCGATACTGGTGGTTGCTTCTCTTGACAAGCTTGGATTGCTGAGAAACAATTCTAACCCGAATTTTTACAGGGTGATATATCATGAAGGACTATCATAAAAGATGAATGCCTTAAAGGTGAGGTGAAATGGGTTTAACATCATATCCAAGATTATTGCACATTTACAGCGACATGCATGCATGAATGTGTGTGTGAGTGTGTGGCTGGTTGTACTAGTCCAGACTAATGCCGATTTTATAGTACCAGCCCACTGAGATACCTTTCCGCAGTTGAACATGAATACTCCACTCAGACACAGTATACTGACTAAGCTGACCAGTCTTTGTTTTAACCCCTTAATGCCGAACACCAGGCAGGTTAACAAGTACCATATTTTAACGTCTTTTGGTATGATGCAGCCGGGGATCGAACACTCAACCTTCCACTCTCTAGGCAGACGCTCTACCACTAGACCATGGAGGTGGTCGTACATGCCTTAAAGAAAGGCACATTTGAACATCACCTCAAAACATGTATATGACTTTTATATTTTGGAAACAAAAGTTACTAATTTACAGAATATATGTACATCGATGTGGATAAAGTGAGTGAGCTTAAGTCAGCAATATTCCAGCAAAATCATTTCTCATTATATTGGAGTGAGTTCTTACATTAGTGACACAACTCATTATGGAGAGCTGACACCGAAGAGGACTTCTGCAAAAAACATCTGAAGGTTTTATAGTGTCACCATATAAGTCAGCTCTTATGATAAGCTTCAGTCACTGAGGACATAATCTGCCCTGGAATCCCCACATGGGGATACCCACCAATGGTCCAGACGAGCGAGTGATGCGGGCCCGGTCATCTAGTTTCTGGTTGGTCAATTCTGTCGTTACAGATGACCGTCTTGGTGGTATAATTCCAGATGCAATCAATGGAGGTGTGGAGGACACCATATGTCGATTCACCGACTTTAAAACTGGACCCGTCCTGAAACAATGATAGGAACTGATGCTGCTTACATGGGAAGAAGGAAGCTGTCAAATCATTTTAGTAAATTACAACAACAACAAAAAATTTTAAAGTAATTAGATAAAGCAATGCCCTTGGATAAATAGGTTCATTTCCTTCTGATAGTGAAGGAGCAATTATAACTGATATAAAAGTTGTTCATTTTGCCTGTAAGTTTTCCATAATTGGAATACATCTTAGCTGTATTAACAATTACTGACTAAAAAATTGTGTAACTTTGTAAAACATTTTGAATCATATAATATTTCGGATTTATGTATTGTCGACTTTTTTAAAGACACTTTCTGCTCGAAGAGGTTGCTCCATGAATTACTCATAACATCCTAAATTTTATACAAAAATTATAAAGTTGGCACCTGAAGAAAACCTATAAGAAAGCCAAACTTGTGTACACCTCTCACATCATACTTGACTTCCTCTTGCAGTGTATTAAAGGGTAACAAGACATGCAAGAAAGGTGGACTTGTCTCAGACGTTTGGCTCCTTTGTCCACTCAGTGTAAAACGGAAATGTTGGTTATATATCAGTAAAGAAAATAGTTTGAACTCAATTATCATTTAATGATGACCAAAAATCCCCTACCTCCTAACTGCTGACACATCCCTGTAAAAGACCAATCTAACTATTAAGGGCATCCCAGCCAAACTGCCAGAGACAAGTCCCCCTTTAAGTGTGGGTGCCAGTGTACCTGACAGGCTTTCTGAACACGGGTGGAGGGAGGGGAAATGTGAGGGGGGGAGACACGTGGTCAAGCTGGTAGGGGTTGCGGCGTGACGACACAGGGAAGGTACGAATAGGAGTCGCAACATCGCCTGCTTCTGAGTCACTGGCATCGGAGGAGCTACAAGGGAAGGTTAGTGTTTCATCAACCAGTCACCATTTAGTGTCAACTAGCATGCATGATTAGAAAACACATTCAAAATGTCACTTTCATGATCTGGTAAGTGATGCTTTGATTGGTTGGATGAAAGGTCGTTCTGACGTGACCCGTAATGGGATGTCCTCAGATCTTTGTTTAGCGATAGTGAGAACTAAGATCTGATTTTAATGAGATTGTTGTAACCATCTGATCCTCATTCCGGTTGCTTATTAAGACAATCACTCTGTCTTCCCTGAATTCCATGTGCTGACACACATGAGAAACAAAACTGTTGTCATGGTTATGACAATACATATTCCATCAAGCATGCTATATTGAGTTTACAAACATGCAGAAACAACGAAACCAATACACACAACAAATAGGAGATCTAGCTAATACTGGTACATAATAAATAGTACTTCACTGGAGCTCACCTTGTCAAATAGTAAATGTCATAATCTTTTGCCTCTTACACCAATGAAATCTGTTTAGTTGGATAATCAAGACTGGTTATTCTCTGGCATTTAATTAACATGTCAACAAAGAAAACCACTTCAGATCGTTACTTTTAGCATCAACATTGTAACAGTTTCTGTATAAAGTTAGACTGATGGGGAAATGGACGTTTGATGAATGCCAAATTTCACCTTGGTGGCCATATTGAAAAATCAGATCAGAATTATTGAACTCATTTTTTGGACAGGCTTAACAGGTTTCGGCATCATTGCTCCACTGTGAAACGTTCACATTCACTACTACCAGATGCCAGACAAGTAGGCCAAGACATACGACCACGTAACCATTTGATCAGGTGAGCTACAATATCATGGTTCTCAAGTGCTGCCTATATCACTGCAGGACACACCCAGACAGTACTGTGTCTTTCTGCTTTAAGTTCCCTTAACCAATATTTTACAGCCACTTCACGAGAACCAAGTTTAATTTCTGTTAAATTTATTATGTTCATATTGAGATATGTTAACACAAGATGATCTGTCCACAACATTACATGCAAGTAAATAACCCTTGGGTAATTATGATTATGATATTTTTAAACATGCAAATTTTAGTATCTGTGGTGCAGTTTGTGAATTCATGCATGTGTGTTGGTCACAGGTAATTAGCATATGTGAGATTACCTCATGTCCTTGGGTCCATTAATGAGGTGACCACTGGAGAGGCCATTGGTCAGTGAGGTGGACGGAAGGATGAAGCCATTGGCACTGTGTACGCCTGGACACAGATCTCGGAAGTTGTCTGTGGAAACATTCACTTCTTCAGATAACATGAGAATAGAAATGGTGGATTTTGTACCTAATTTAGGCCAAGATGGAAACAAATATATAAATAGAAAGGGTATTTCATAATTACTTCTGAATATTTTGCCATATGTACCTTGATCGTTAAGTCGGCCTCACCCGTGATGCAGCTGGAATATCATATTCACATGGGGGTAGAGTTTGGTGTACGTCACCACACATGACATAGCACGTTGTTTATGGAGGAGAATTCAGTCCACACAAACACATAAAACTCTTTCATACAATTATTGGATGACTTTGATACCTGATTTTTAAACTATTTTTACATATTCCCAGAATCCTTATACAAACAAGCACTACTTCTATAGTTTCTGGAAAGCAAACGCAAAGCATAATTTCACATACACAACATAAAAACACCTCTAGATATATGTATAAATAACTAGGGATAGGTATTGGAGGTTTAGGGTGTATTACAATATTTTACAATGCAACAGGCCCTATTGCTATACATATCACAATATATTGTGTAATTCTAAATTTGTATTCAGAAGCAATTTAAAACACCAGTGTATGAATTGAAGATTGCTCCAGGTATTTGGCAATTGTATAAATAAATTCCCAAGGATGCACGCAAGTGTAAATACATGATAGAAATGGCTATTTGAAATCATCCGATAAATCTAGCATTAAAAAAGCAATATTGTGATATGGAAGGAATAACCCTCAATTTACTGATATACCGGTAATACTACGCATCCTTAAAAGCAACACTTAACACCAACATAAACTTACTTAATTTCATTATTCACCAACATCTTAATGTTTCATTCTATACCCTCAACAGAAGCACATAAAACAAACAAATACATGAAAGCAATAAATGTGTATACCACTCAAAAGAAGTTAAAGAACGCTCGATTTCTTCATATGACTACAGTTAATCTGTCATGGCATAACTGATCATCTACAGTCTTATGAAGAAATTGGGTGTTCTTTAACTTCTTTTTTTACACTGAGCAGTATCTATGGTGCAGGTAATTTTGAGTCTGCTTGCAACAACTAAATCTACCCAGCATGAAATCTTCAGCCTATCTAGCCAAGTGTACCAAGCACGAGTGTGTCGTCAACTCACAGAAAGATGCCACATTCACGGGGGGCTTATTGTCTGTGTGAACAAGTTGCTCATGTTGACGTACAGTTCCAAACATAACCCAGATTAATGCATTTGTTAAACATCAAACATATTCTAGACTCATTATAATATTATCATTTCAAGAACCAATAACAACAATATAAGACTGTGGTAATAAGAAATTAATGATAGAGCAGGTTATATTTTCATAAATTTGATACCATATTTGCCATATCAGGCGCCCTCTCACAAGTTTTAGACGAATCTGTAAGTTATCTTTACAAGCACCCTGTACAAAGCCTGGACATTTACATGATAGTTTTAGTTTCATCAGAGTTTGAACTATGTTTGTTCACTACCCTTCGATCTCAGACAAGCTTAACTCGTGTCAAAATTTACTAAGTGCCCAGTTTCTTACACAGAAGTAGGAAATGTGTCTTCTCCATATTAGGATTACACCTGCAGATGTTAATCATTTCATGACAAAAAGGGCCTGCTTTTTAAACACAAGCACATTTATTATTTCTGTGACCATTCCTGCTCCATCACATGATGATTTTCACACTGACACGGTGGTCATGTATGGCGTAAGTTAGTACCTATACAATGTAGCAACAATGAATTGACTTGTTGCAGTCTACACTTACCAGCATGAGTATACCCTGTTCGGACGTTGAAGCCAACAAGTGCCTGGGAGATGTTGGAGGTTCCCTCGTTGAGTGCCACCTGCAGGCGATGATGTATATCATCAGGGGAGGTAAGCGGAGGCTGCCCAGGTGAACTACTACCATCTATGAACTGCAGGAGGGAAGCAAAGTCAGCAAGCAAGGTCGGCAAGCAAGGTCAACAAGCATAGTAGGTAGCAGAAAGGTTGAGAGAAGCATAGATAGAGATGTGCTCCTGAGAGGCAAGGTGCAGGTGCATCGATCTTCCCAAGGCAAGGGAGTTAACCGACTCTAAAAGTCCAGTTTCCACCCTTGCTGAACAAGGCTGGAATTTCTGGGCTCGATCATGGCACCACCAGTGGCTATTAGGAGTGCATCAAATCATGTGAGCACCTTGATTAAAAATGTGACAAGATTTGGAAAATATGTGTCATCGCCCAGTTGATGGAACACATCTTTTACAAATCCTGCAGTCGAGCGAAATCTGCACGTTGAAATCCATGTTGTTTATGAACTGGATGTCGATTTTGTTAAGCGATTTTAATTGGACTATGCATAGACTTGTTAGTCCAGCCAAAACTTAACTCCACAATTGCAGCCTAGTTAGACAAGGGTGGAAACTGGACTTTTACAGTCAGTTAACTCCTTTGCCTCGGGAAGATGGGCGAAGTGTGGTAAAATTAGGTTTAAGGTCACGTTCAAGAATATTTCACATATGTAGCAACATGCATCAGCTGGAGTGTGTGGCTGATTGTACAGGTCTGGACTTGGCCGGACTTATCGTGATAGCCCATTGCAATAACATGCCGCAGTCGAACATTGATTCCCACTCAGACACAGTATACCGAAGCTGACCAGTACTTTCTCTTAGTACACCAAAATGTCGAGTGCCAGTCAGGGTGACAGCAAGTAGCATCTTTTAATGTCTTTTGGTATGACGCAACCAGGGGGTTGAAACATCAACCTTCTGCTTTCTGGGCAGACACTCTATTCACTACACCATGGAGACGGTGCTCCAGAGAGGACAGTCTGTCCACATGCAGCATGTACTGTGTTCCCATCACCGGCAGTCCATGGACCTTCTCTCACCTCATTGTTCTTCGTTATTTCAAGGAGATGGCAACTTATGTCACACATTCAGATATTCATGCTTATCAGGGTGCAGGAACAAAACAAATGCTCCCTTGTTCTTGGGAACAGTGAGTGAGTGAGTATGGTTTTATGCCGCTTTTAGCAATATTTCAGCAATATCCCTGCTGGGGACACCAGATATGGGCTTTACCCATTTTACCAATGTGGGGAATCGAACCCAGGTATTCGGCGCATTGAGCAAAGGCCTTAACCACTAGGCTACCCCATCCCCCCTTTTGAAACAGTAAGTAGATAGTGATTAATTATGTATTCTGACAGAAAAACTGTATGTAGATATTTCAGTTTCTAGAGATTCTAACTTGTCCTCAGACAACTTTACCAGTTCAACAGTACATTCAGGATAGACTGAGTCACACATGCTATATCTGTTGTGTGTCAATGCATCATTTTAGTACTAATCTATGTTGTAGAATCTGAACTATACTACTCAAAAGTTACCAAAGAATTGGGTGTTCACTAACTTTTTTAAGTAGTATATAACAGGTGAGCAGTGAAGCCAAGATGGAGGCCAGAGGATCGGAAGATCTAAGAACTATGTCAATAATACTGAAGCACAGACACTACTGCAGATCTACACAGTGTGCTGCTTCATCCCACGAAGCAGGACACAGTCAGAGGTACACAACTAACAAGGAAAGGGTCAGCATTGACGCCATTGCTTAGATCAACTGAAACAATGTTGAGTTCATACTGGACTACTTGTTAAGAATGGTAACTTTGGCATTTTGGCATTTTGGTAATTGTGCAAGAAATGTAGAAGTAATGACCCATATTACAAATATGATTGATCTATCTCTTTTTCACCAACTCACGAAAAAACTGAGATCCTTTTGTCTATCTTCCTCTGTTTTCTTCTTGATTTCTGCCATTCTCTGGAACATAATAGCAGAATACAATTAAAAACATATGAGTCAGAAATATCAGTAATGTTATAAACTATTTCAGGTCATTACATAGACGGACAAAGTCCATCAAATCTTTTATTACATGATAAATTTATGGGTTTTTTATTTAAAATAAACAGTTTTAATGCTATTTTGGTGTTGAATACAGTTGGCCAGTCACTTCCCTAGTTTTATCATCTAGTCTAGTATAGATTACACTGAATGCAGATATTCTGCAGTCATTACACGTGTCACAATGATTGATTCTTTGACCACAACTGCATATATACAGCTGCAACAATGACATCCTATCTAGTGCTTTATTCACTGTACCTCAGCTCACTCATATATTTCTTGGACCTGGACTGCAGGTAACTCCTATATAACAATGACATCCCATCCATTGCCTTATTCACTGTACCTCAGCTCACTCACATATTTCTTGGACCTGCACTGCAGGTAACTCCTATATAACAATGACATCCCATCCATTGCCTTATTCACTGTACCTCAGCTCACTCACATATTTCTTGGACCTGCACTGCAGGTAACTCCTATATAACAATGACATCCCATCCAGTGCCTTATTCACTGTACTTCAGCTCAATCATATATTTCTTGGACCTGCACTGCAGGTAACTATATAATAATGGTATCCTTTCCAGTATTCACTTTACCTTAGCCTGCCTCTCAATGCTCCTCTCCTCTGTGAAGCATGGCACTCCGCCATTGCTGCGCCCCTCGTACTTGCTGATGTAGTGGGGGCGGGTGGCCATCCTCATGTACTTGTCCAGGGCAGCGTTCGCCTGTAATCACAGCTTCTGTGTCAGGCGTTTTACACTTTCATTTGAATTTCACATCATCCAAACACACTGAAATCACTTTGCACTTTGGACATTTGTGACACATCTTAAAATTTTATGATTGTCAATCTTACAAGATCATGATTGATGAAGCACTTGAAACATATATACTAAAGGCAGAATTATTAAATATACAAAAAAAGAAATCAACATACAAGATACTACACAGAAACAACATGCGTGATATTTTGAAGGAATGATGATTTTCTTATGAATGTGAGCCCTCCCCCCATCCCCCCTCCTCCCACCCAATTTAAAAAAACCACAACCAAACATGAACAACAATCAGTTATGTAAGGAAGCAACAGTGATACATACAAGGAAGGTTGGGTCAGAGTGAAGCCATGCACACCATGCTATTAGATTCGGCAATTTGTGGCATTTTTTGTGAAAAAGGAATATTACCATACCAGCACACATCAGGGTCCATATGACTGACTATAGAAATATATATCTTTAACCCAACACACACATACAAACAGCAGAATCTTCCTGGTTCTAGAACTGGATAACTGGGATCCTGGAGGAGACACAGGAAGGTTATGCTACTGCTGTCCTGTAACTAGGGAACAGGTTATACTCAGACCACTATGATGGTACTGACATCAGGAACACAAGAAAGATGGATAACTGGGATCCTGGAGGAGACACAAGAAGGTTATGCTACTGCTGTCCTGTAACTAGGGAACAGGTTATACTCAGACCACTATGATGGTACTGACATCAGGAACACAAGAAAGATGGATAACTGGGATCCTGGAGGAGACACAAGAAGGGTATGCTACTGTTGTCCTGTAACTAAGGAACAGGTTACACTCAGACCACTATGATGGTACTGACATCAGGAACACAAGAAAGATGGATAACTGGGATCCTGGAGGAGACACAAGAAGGTTATGCTACTGCTGTCCTGTATCTAGGGAACAGATGTACACTCAGATCAATATGATGGGTGTTGACATCAGGGACACAAGCAAACTGGGTCACATTTTTTCTGTTGAGGTTCGTGGGGGAGTGAAAACAACATCATGATGCTTGAAACATACAAACACATTCTAAGTGTGTACCTTCTCCAGGAGACAGGCCAGAAGCAGGAACAGTGTAGGGATCCAGAAAGCATATTGGGTTCATATGTAGGCATATTGTTCAGAAAGGACAAGGGCACGTCCATAACTCAGAATCAGATCTACTGCAGTCCCCATAATATTGTCTCCTTTGCCATCAACTCTGGCGTGCTCTTGGCGACCTCTACCATGCAGGGATCTGCCATCCTTGCTGTGACTTTGTCACATCTTCTTTAGACTATGGAAGGTCTTGGTCAAGATATTTCAAGTTTCAAGGAATTTGCTCAGCTTAATCTTCATTATCTGAAATTGTTTAGTAATCTTTCCAGCATACAGCATGCAAGACGACTATACTGTATCCTTGCTGACGGTGTTCTACCACCATTACCATCATTAGCAATCACTTCTGACCAAGTTTTAGCAACCATAATGAGCTATAAGGGTTGATCGCCGACATGAGAAAGAAAAGTAATAATCTAATGTACCATGAAATGTACACCGTGCACTGCTTGAAGTCGGATCATGTTTGTCCAGAAGTGTAATAAAGGCTTTCCATTCTCATGATGAAACATTCGCTAGCACTTCATATTCATTCCTCAGATCTTCTCATACAGACATTTCTTAAACTTTCCTTGATTAAATAAATGATCAGCATAAATATAATGGAACATCACAGAAAATGAGAGAAGTTTCACGATTTTTGTCCAGCAGACACAAGACACCATTCAATAATTTATCTTCACTGAAAGAAACTCTTGCATTTATTCATTGTCAGTCCTTTTGCAGTTTTAATCAGATTGTGGACTGTGTGTCCCCTCCTCGTCCTACTGGACATCTGGGTAGATGGAGGTACACCTGTTGGTGTCCCAAGGGGATAGTTTGAACATGGTAACACCGATTTATCACAATGTCCAGCAGTCTTGGCTGTGCGATTCCTTGAAGCTGATTTGTTTGCATGACGTATATTTCTCAGTGGGTGAAACACAACCTTTCCATCTTCTAACTGTATTTTGAGAAATTGTGATGTGATCATCACTGAAGACAAGTCAGTGTCATCAGGGTATTCTCTGTACCTATGGTTCTTCAGCATCTGAAAAGCTTCAAAGGTGAGTCCGGGCATTGCTGACTGTAGACTGCAAGGGACATAACTCCTGAGAGTCTTATCGGGGAGAATAGAAAACTGTTTGGGGTTTAACACAATTGTTTTCTTCTCAGATGTTGAAGATTTGGATTTAGATGATTTCTGAAATTTCAAAATCACTTTGGTTGTATGGGAATGATTGGGTCTTGGACAGAGGATAGATCGATTCATCTTGAAATCTTGGAAGAACAAAGGAAACCAAAAAAGGAAATAAGGAAAATAAGAAAATTGAGACAAACAAATGGAAATTGATCAAACCAAAGCATCTACATGAAAAGAGTGAGTAAGTGTTGCTTTAAGCCGCATCAGCAATATTCCAGCTATTCACGGCTAGACATCAAAAGAGAACCAAAGCAGATAGAACAAGAACACATGACGAATACTACCAATTATAACATTCAGAAATGTGTCTTCAGCCCACTGATGGAGTGGATAAAGAAGACTGAAACAGTCATCTAGACAAATGTAAAGAGACTTTGTATCTATAAAACATGCATAACTTCTTTGAGCTTAATCTCATCAAGACATTTAGTATAATGTAAGCTGTTTTTAGAATGTGCAGATCATCAAAATCACTTTAAATGGTTGACACATAGTTCACAAACATGAAACAAGAAAACAGTTGTGTACATGAGCTCTAAGTAGCAACATCCAGCATGACTTGTCAGTGTTGCCAGATGACATGTGAACTATCTACAGTGGCTGACACTCATCCCTGATTCTGTGTAGAGCAGGTCAATCAAGCTGCTTCATTCATATAATGCATGTTTGTCTTGTTTGTGGTGTAATAATGTACTCCAATATAATGTAATATTCCACCAATATGATGGCAACCCATTAAAATGAACTCTGGTCCAGACAAACCAGTGATTGATGTTATGACAACAATCCATGCCATCAGGACGACACACAATCAACCAAGTCAGCGAGCCTGTCCACCTGATCAGTTTAGTTGCCTCTTGAGACAAGCACAGGTTGCTGAGGACCCATTCCAACATGGAATCTTCACATGGGTTTTCCAGACAGCTGGGGGTTAGACAAAGATCAGAAACTAGGTTTACTTGACATGAATAGAGCAAACGTAACTCTAATTTTCAGGTAACTTGCTGAACTTCCATGTTCTCAATTTTCTTTTGTATCTGGCTAAACAACAGTGAAGTTATTCCATTGACAATATGCCTCCGACTTCCAGCTTGCCTGACTTGTAAAGGTTACTACGCTCAGGGGTCACTCAATGGTGTCTTGTCCAAGGATCTACCGGTACCTGTCTGGCTCGTCCACTAACTGGGTGAGCCGATCACACCTGTCGGAGACCCACCTGTCTGGCTCATCCACTAACTGGGTGAGACGATCACACCTGTCGGAGACCCACCTGTCTGGCTCATCGACTAACAGGGTGAGCCAATCACACCTGTCGGAGACCCACCTGTCTGGCTCATCCACTAACTGGGTGAGACGATCACACCTGTCGGAGACCCACCTGTCTGGCTCATCCACTAACTGGGTGAGACGATCACACCTGTCGGAGACCCACCTGTCTGGCTCATCCACTAACTGGGTGAGACGATCACACCTGTCGGAGACCCACCTGTCTGGCTCATCGACTAACAGGGTGAGCCAATCACACCTGTCGGAGACCCACCTGTCTGGCTCATCCACTAACTGGGTGAGACGATCACACCTGTCGGAGACCCACCTGTCTGGCTCATCCACTAACTGGGTGAGACGATCACACCTGTCGGAGACCCACCTGTCTGGCTCATCCACTAACTGGGTGAGACGATCACACCTATCTGGCTCGTCCACTAACTGGGTGAGACGATCACACCTGTCGGAGACCCATCTGTCTGGTTCGTCCACAAACTGGTTGAGATGATCACACCTGTCAGAGAGCCACCTGTCTGGCTCGTCCACTAACTGGATGAGACGGTCACACCTGTCGCAGACCTACCTGTCTGGCTCGTCCACTAACTGGGTGAGCCGATCACACCTGTCGGAGACCCACCTGTCTGGCTCGTCCACTAACTGGGTGAGACGATCACACCTGTCGGAGACCCACCTGTCTGGCTCGTCCACTAACTGGGTGAGACGATCACACCTGTCGCAGACCTACCTGTCTGGCTCGTCCACTAACTGGGTGAGACGATCACACCTGTCGGAGACCCACCTGTCTGGCTCGTCCACTAACTGGGTGAGACGATCACACCTGTTGGAGACCCACCTGTCTGGCTCTGTACAGAGGTGAGCTGTGTGACTGGGATGGTAGAGACCCCACTGGGAGCTGATGGTGGGAGCCATGATGCGACTCCGGTGCACATACCAGGGCCGGCAGAGATGCCTGATTAGAGCAAACATTCAGCCAATCACCAGATTAGTGGCACACAAAACATTAATTACGCACACAATTAGTGTGACCAGATTGCAAGTCAGAATCCATCACCACGATATGACCGTCTTGATAATCCAGTGTGTCTCCACAATATTATGATACCTAGGACTCATTATCCACCACAGCCTTCCATATTCAGGTTAGTCTGCTATTCCAAGACTACTAATTTGTGTTGAGGACAAGTACAAATCTAACAATGGTAGTTCTCATTGACAAGTAGCATTTGAGCATTTTGTATTGCACAAAACAACCTTAGCCCTATGACTGCCGTAAGTCTATGTTAGTGAGTGAGATGGGTTTAACGCCACTTTTAACAGTATTTCAGTTATATCATGGCGTGTCAGCTTAATGTGGGAGGAAAGCCCGAAGTGATGCAGGTCTCAGACGTTTACCACTTCGGTGAAACCCACGAGCACGGGTATGGTGCTGACAAACCTAGAAACATAATTGGCGTGGCCAAGGGACGCAACTCTGCACAGCGAATCGCGGCGTAAGTCTATGTTGAGGTAAGGGAGTTATGATCACCATAGCACTAAGGTCGCTTTGCACAATGACACCCAGTTCTCAATGCTTCAATTTTGTTACAAATTGGAACTAAATAAAACTGATAGAAAATGTAAAAATAGTAAATATTTTTGTCTTGTTTAGGAGGGACTAGCTACAAACTCTGAGGACAAGTGAAATACTGGTCCTCTGGACTTGTCTTAAAAAGACTGAATTTCTAATGCTGTACCATAGTTTTGTTTTGAATCTGATTTGACATACACAATACTGAAAACAGCTAATGAACGAAAGAATCTGGTCAAAGCTACTGATGAAGATGGTGACATCACTTAACGATTGAAGTCGTATTTGTTGACGTTCATCAACTGATGAAGACAGTGCCTCACGTGAGCAAATTCCATGATGGGCGAATCGATCCTTATATGGACAGATACATAAATCATAACAAAACAACCCATTAAACATCAAACTTTCATTATTTATAGCGGACTATATCAATGCGGAGAGTCATGACGTCTTGACATCATCTGTCCCAAACATTCCATTTGGAGTGACATCCCTTGGTTTTACAAATGGCAGAAAATGGTGGCTACCGCATTGTCATTCGCTTGAAATACAAGTTGCACCCAGTAAAGTAAGCGGAGGAATTGGAAAGAAATCCAGACCCGGCTCATGCTGACAAATGGATGCATATTAACGTTCTGTGAACTTTTGGCGTGTGTTTGAGTCATACTGCGGCTGCTGATGACGGGGATTACCGCTTGAGGCGGCGCGGTTGGATTTACTGAGGCACGATAGTGTGGAGCTCGGTGATTTCTTTTGGTAAGTCGAGCATTCTCTGTTATAGCTTCGAATGGACGCTTCATTTCGGTGACCCGATATACACATGATCTGTATGACTTCCAAGCCTGCATCATTCATAGCCTAAATCGATGTCGCTCTCAGTTTTCCCTAATTATTTTTAATGTTATTTTTAGACATTGAGTAATTCCCCTAAAGTAGTTCTGTATGTCTCCGTGCAATTGACAATGTAATCATGTGACATACTGACGTTCATCGGGAAATGAAGAACGGTCCCTAGGCAAGGTCACCCACAACTGTCAATATTTATAAATGAAGCCATGGTACCACTTTATTTATCATACTAGATTGGGGATATACACACTGGAGTATCAAGACTGTGATATATCGGGAGTGCAAACAAGTCATGTCTCTTTGTGTTAGTATGTTTTACAATGCAACATGGAAACCATTAGTGGGAGTGCGTTTTGTTTCAATCAAATCACAGCAACTTTCAGTGCATTTAAATTAACACAAAATGACAAACAACATAAACAAATTACACTCATTAACTGTAGAACAGAATGTAACTACCACACTTGTGGCAACTGGATTATTCAACAACACACTGAAGTTGTAACTATGGTTACAAGAGACACTCACAGACAAAGCTTTCATCCGCGACTCTTCCTTTTTTTCAGCTGGGGTTGGTGTCTTCTTGTCACGGTCCCGCTGTTTGCGGGATTTCCGCTTTTTCTTCCGAGTTTTAGATTCTTTCATTTCTGGTTCTGATTCACTGTCGCTATCACTTGAACTGAAATGTGAAGCAGAAAGTGTACAGACAACCATTCTCTCAATAGTCCAAACAATCAGCAAGGTTACTCTTTCTCATCATCCAATCCATTTGAGTCAGTTCCTAAGACAAGCAGCATGTACAATGGACTGCCTGAAAAACCAAAGAGATCTAATACACTTAAACTTTAGAAAACAACAACTTTAGTAACAACTAACTTAGTGACATGGTCATCTTCTGGAACTCAAGACTTATAAACAAATAACTTAGACAAATAAAAAGTTAACCCAATCTGACAACAACAAAAGATTGACCAAATATTTTAATTATTCCAAGCTTCCATATTGACGAAACCACCTGAAAGATGATTTTGTGTGTGCAACTTCTCAAATTCAAATGGCATTTTGGCAATTTTACGGCTGTTTGTTCAATGACATAATGATGTAATGATAACATCACTGAAAGAGTTATTTTGGTTTGTTACAAAACTGTTACAATAGCATGTTGATACTTACTCTGATTCCGTGATAACATCTCGGACACTGAGCTCTGTGAGAATGTTCAGACAGCCATCCATTGTTTTGAGTGACATGTTATCGATAAGCTGATCAATTTCCTTCCGTGTTATTGCTGGTTCTTTCCCCCCGTTCTCCGGTTTCGTTCCCTTCAACTCCTTCTTTCCCTTCTCCGGCTTTTCTTCCAGTTGGGACTTTTCCCGATCTTTGGCCACGAGGGACAGAATGACACCAGTCCACTTCTCGGCATCCTCCTGGATCATCTCTGCCTCCATCTCGGACAGATTGGAATCTGAAACATCATCCATGAGTGAGTGAGTGAGTGAGTGAGTGAGTGAGTGAGTGAGTGAGTGAGTGAGTGAGTGAGTGAGTGAGTGAGTGAGTGAGTGAGTGAGTAAGTTGAGTGAGTTGAGTGAGTGAGTGAGTGAGTGAGTGAGTGAAGGGAGCATGTGGTTGAATGCCACAATGAGCAATATTACACCTATAATATGACAACCTGTAAGTAATCATTTTTGAACCAGGCAATCCGGTGACTGAAAGCCTGACAAAGAACTCATGCCATCAGGGCACCATAACACACAAGCAGTCAGGTCAAAGAGCCTGACCACCCAATCTTTAATTGCCTCCAGCAAGAACCAGTCTATCCTGGATGCCCACAGAGAGAAACATCCTCCACACAAGCAGTTAGGTCAAATAGACTGACCACCCAATCTTTAATTGCCTCCAGCAAGAACCAATCTATCCTGGATACCCACAGAGAGAAACATCCTCCACACAAGCAGTTAGGTCAAAGAGTCTGACCTCCCCATCTTTAATTGCCTCCAGCAAGAACCAATCTATCCTGGATACCCACAGAGAGAAACATCCTCCACACAAGCAGTCAGGTCAAAGAGTCTGACCACCCAATCTGTTTTAATTGCCTCTTACAAAAGCAAATCTATCCTCGATACCAACAGAGAGAAACATCCTCCATACAAGCGGTTAGGTGAAAGAGTCTGACCTCCCCATCTTTAATTGCCTCTGACAAGAACCAATCTATCCTGGATACCCACAGAGAGAAACATCCTCCACACAAGCAGTCAGGTCAAAGAGTCTGACCACCCAATCTGTTTTAATTGCCTCTTACAAAAGCAAATCTATCCTGGATACCCACAGAGAGAAACATCCTCCACACAAGCGGTTAGGTCAAAGAGTCTGACCACCCAATCTGTTTTAATTGCCTCTTACAAAAGCAAATCTATCCTGGATACCCACAGAGAGAAACATCCTCCATACAAGCGGTTAGGTGAAAGAGTCTGACCTCCCCATCTTTAATTGCCTCTGACAAGAACCAATCTATCCTGGATACCCACAGAGAGAAACATCATCCAAATAATGAAGTGACTGAAGGTCTTACCTTGTCTCAACATGGCGATTTCAGTGAAGCTAGGGATCTTGGTTTCCTGTGGGAGGAGCCCTCGACTCACTAGAATATCCTGAGTAATCACTCTTGTAAGGTCAAGGACAACCTCTGTCTGGCGACTGGCAACAAAGAGTAAAGTCACACTTTACTGCTTGCTCACTTCCGGGAACCAACACAAACATGTACTGACACAACATATTTGTGTCATTTCAGATCTAAAAGATCCATTGGCTTTTTCGTATGGACATTAAATATTCCATGACTTCAGAAACATGAATTTGATTAATTAATGCATGTGACTAGGCCTAGAAGAGGTGACACAGTTGATGACAGTGTAAACATTTCCTTTGACTTTGAAGACCAACTCTCAGTCAGGTCAAGCAGTTTTGGTCATCTGTCCACTTTATATCTATACTTCATTGTGTCCATCCAATACTCATATTGTTTCTTACAACATGAAAATCTGTTCTGCCTTGAATGAAAAATGAGCTCATGAACAAATTGAACCAATGGTAGCTCAGGAACAAAATGAGCCAAGTACAAACCCTGGACCAAAATAAGCTCATGGGAAAAAATAGAGCAAAATTAACCAATGGTAGACCAGTAAATATGAGCCAATGGTAGCCCAGTATGATAGAGCCAATGGCAGCCCAGTATAAAAGAGCCAATGGTAGCTCAATATAAATGAGCCAATAGCAGCCCAGTATAAATGAGCCAATGGTAGCTCAATATAAATGAGCCAATGGCAGCCCAGTATAAATGAGCCAATGGTAGCCTGATATAAATGAGCCAATGGCAGCCCAGTATAAATGAGCCAATGGTAGCCCAATATAAATGAGCCAACGGCAGCCCAGTATAAATGAGCCAGTGGTAGCCCAGTATAAAAGAGCCAGTGATAGCAGAGTACTAACGCCTTGTTCTGCTGCAGCTCCAGGTAGTCCAGCACCACCTGACCCAGGGTGTTCCCCATGTCCATGAAGTCACTGATGTTGAAGTGCCGACCCTGCCCACTGCAATGCAAGTTTTAGGATAAGGTACATGATGAGACGAATCTGAACACCTCCTTGAGATTAGGGTACTCATCAGTCCTAAGAAAGCATTTTGGGAAATGTTGTTTTGTTAATAAACAAGTCCCTGTTACAATAAGATATGTTCATCCAGTGTGGAAGAAGGCTTCTGTAAAGGCAAACTGATATTGTTGTTGCAGTGGGTGTTCACATGCCACTTTAAGAAATATTATTTGTCAAGGTATGTCTGATATTACAGGGAACCTTGTCTTGTCTCATGGTGACAATATATTATGGCATATGGCAACATTGGCATCTGTATATTTTCAACATATTGTTATACAGACACTCCAACACATTGCACTACCAATCCCTGCCTCCCCCTGCCACAAGTACCTGTTGAGAGTGGTTCCACTGAACGTTGCTTCCAGGGTGAAGCTGTTGTGTATCTTCATTTGTCTCCACATCACCACGCGACCGGTCGACTCCTTGCACTTCCGGATGTGAAACTTGCATGATGGGTAGCAGAACTTGTCAGGGGACTGAAAAAGGAAGCAGTGTAGTTATTGGCTGGTGTGGACTGAGGTCTGCTTATCATCCATACAGTCTGATCGAAAGATATTGGAGCACTTATTCTCCAAGTCTTCAAGAAGAGTGAGTGAGTGAGTGAGTGAGTGAGTGAGTGAGTGAGTGAGTGAGTGAGTGAGTGAGTGAGTGAGTGAGTGAGTTGGGTGTAACACCTCTTTTAACAGTATTCCAGTTATATCATGGCAGCAACAGATTTGTCATGAAGATATTTAACAATTGAAATACCCTTTGTAATACATAAGGACCACAGATTTTTCATCAAGATACAGTCAAGTCTCGTTAATCCGACACTCGTTAATCCGACACTCGGCTTTATCCGACACAAATGATGGGAACTGATTGATTCAGCGCTATTTAGTCCCGTTAATCCGACATTCTCGCACTCCGACTCCGACACACCTTATTTGCAACGAATTACCGAAATCACTCATTAATCTCGTTAATCCGACACAGTGGTCAGCGTACTCTGTGGTCATCTGCCCGCGAGTACACAACCCCGTGTTTTGACACGCACTGGCTGCAGAGATTAACTTTAACAATTAACACTAGATGCCGGGATCATAAAGAATTTCAAGCTTTATTATAAGAAACAAATGAAATTACACCTCGACAATGTTGATGCTGAAGAACCACCAGCCCTAGACGTCTAGCGAACAGGGGACTTTGAGAAATGTGCCTTCAAAATGTGAGAAACAGAAAACACTGACAGACTATTTTAAGTAGATGAAGCAAGTTGTTAAGACAGTAGCACTTGCATTTACACTAGGAAACACACGGTTATTATCTATCGTGAAGATGTCCGATTTTCGATCACAAATCACTTAATTTCGTTAATCCGACATACTCGTTAATCCGACACAATCATGTGCAACCAACGATGTCGGATTAACGAGACTTGACTGTATGTAACAATTGTAATACCTTTTGTAATACACAAGGGCCACAGATTTGTCATCAAGATATGTAACAATTGTAATACCTTTTGCGCCATGAGCCAAGGGAAGAGACGCTCATTGATAAATGTCCTTGCAGCACCATACTCAGACACATCTTCTTCAGTGGATGTGTTATTGCCATACATGAACACATTGTGTTTGCGACTGTGGCCATGCAGGTCACAATATAAAAGCACCTGTCAGAAAGAAAAAATAAAACCATTTTAGAAAAGTACTTATGGACCTGGTGTCAAAATAATGCCATGTATATCCTTGTGAACATCCATGCCTTCCCGCTATGGTGGCAGCTGCTCTCACATTAGTTTGTGAGCAAGTGACCTTAGCTCCTTAATCATGTCACTCTATACAGGCACCAGGGGTAAATTAACTCACTAGAGACTGCAGGGAAAGATCTAAGGGAAAGTATCAAGGTGACAGGCCATAATCTTGTCCATAAAAGTGTTCCATGATATTCTGATTTGGCACAAGTGTCAGTCAGTCATCGAATAGGCTTTCAGGGCACTGTTAGCAATATTGTTAGCCAGATGACAGAGGAGACACCAGAAAAGATAAAACCCATGTACAAAGCGAAGTAACTAGGCTAACCCATCAAATTTCAAGAACAGATTTTAGTGGAAAACAAGAACGTTTAACACTGACAAATATGCTACTCAAAAACCACTTGTTTCTTTCATATTACTATAGTTAATCTGTGGAACAGGTTCACTGGTGTGTTTGTGTTCAGGGCCCTGTTCCACAAAGCCATCTTAGCGCTAAGGTGATTGTAACTCCCATACTTTAACACTGGCTTACGATAGTCGTAGCGCTAAGATTGCTTTGTGGAACAGTGCTCAGGTTCACTGTAGGGCTGAATGCTTGTAAGGGTATTCGTGGCAACTCACCTCATGCCTCTGCACCAACACGTCCACCATGTTCTTCACGTACCAGATGGTGGGGAAGCTCTCGCACCGGGGGTGGCGGTAGTTCCTGTTTAGGTCTCGGGCAGCGAGAGAGCAGCGGTAATTCCCCACTATCACGCCATCAGGGTTTAACATTGGCACTATTTTGAAGATAACACTATTGCGAAGTTTCTGAAAAATGTACACAATAAAAAATTCAAGTACACTTTTGATGAACTGTTGAATAACACCTCAAAACCTAATATGTTCAGAAGGACAATTGGGAGAAAAAACATGCATGATTTGGGGATAGAAGTAAAGAAAATGGAAAGTTATTAAATGTTCAACAATATTCACACATTATTATTATAAGTAACAATTTGGTAAAGAGATGCTTGGGTTAAATAAAAAAAGGACGGGCAAACATTATTGGCTTGTTGCAAACTGACACATATATATGGGAATAAGTATGGGAATGGGAGACTGACCTTAGCTACAGGGTGTGAGCTTGTGACAAAGTCCAGTAGGCCCTTCATCATCCAGCTGGCCTGAGACTCCCCGGGGTGGACACGGGCCGACACCACAACCGCCTTCTTCCTGACTCCTGGTGTGGAGTGCTCTGTGACCAACAGGCACCATGTCAGACCATTGGGCATCATCAACATTCCCACCCACCCACTAGAGGCCTCTGTCTATGATTTTATACTCTATATAGTATGGCCACACTTTTTAATTTTATGTTTCATGCATTATTCCAGCTTTTCCATACAAGGTTGAAATAAAAATAAAAATAATAAGCTATGTCAATCATTTATTTATCTATATGAAAGTCATTCTGCTGTGGAGTTAAAACTGCAGCTGGCTTCTTAATCACTGATAGTGATATAGACATTGAATTTATATGTAACATTTTATATTGTATAAGAGGGTCTATATTACTAGGAGGAGACATAGTAAAAATAAATATTTATGTTTAATTTATTTGTTTTGCAGCTGCTATTCAGTAAGGATGGTGGGGCCGTGAAAAGAAAAAATAGAAAAATGTGTGTCCATGCTTACCATGAGTGAGCCAAGATACACATTCTACAATATCAACCTGGTGTCCTTTCCACAAAGCAGTCTTAGCGCTAAGGTGATTCAAACTCTTATACTTTAACCGTAGTTTTTCAGATGTCTAAGGGGTGGTCGGGTAGGCTGGTGGTTAAAGCGTTCGCTCGTCACACCGAAGACCCGGGTTCGAATCCCGACATGGGTACAATGTGTGAAGCCCATTTCTGGTGTCCCCCGCCGTGATATTGCTGGAATATGGCTAAAAGCGGCGTAAAACCAAACTCACTCACTCACTCACTCAGATGTCTAACATCTAGCCATTCTGTACTGATGCTGAGGGCTGGTTTATCATCCAAATGTACCCTGGGTACAAAACGAAGCAGGGAGTACTTTATCAGTTTATAGAACATGGTTGTGTATCCATATTGTGGTGCAGTTCATTAAACATTTTGTTTATTAAAGGTCTTCAGTTTGCCATAAACCAAACAAATATCTGGCAACAACTCAATATATTAATTTGTATCCAGGGTACATTTTCATGATGAACTGATCAAGAGTGTAGGGCTGGGACGAGTCCAAATTTACTACCTGGGTACCCAACCCCCTATTACCCACCCAACCCAAGTAAACTGTCCCAGCCCTACAAGCGTGACACTCCTTCTATTGTTTGGAGGTCCCTGCTGACTGTGTATTTCTGCACCTACAAGAGTGACACTCCTTCTATTGTTTGGAGGTCCCTGCTGACTGTGTATTTCTGCACCTACAAGAGTGACACTCCTTCTATTGTTTGGAGGTCCCTGCTGACTGTGTATTTCTGCACCTACAAGAGTGACGCTCCTTCTATTGTTTGGAGGTCCCTGCTGACTGTGTATTTCTGGACCTACCGAAGTTGGTGACTGTGATGAGGAAGCAGCTGTTCCCGGCCCGAGTCTCGCACAGCACCTCCCGCCTCATGAACTGCTCACGCTCCGGGTCCTGGAGAAGGGTGTCCAGATCCTCCTTCAGGTCCGTGAATGTGTAGGGGTAGCAGTGGGCCAGGTAGTATGTGTCCTCGGCGTGAGGGAACTCCTGTAACAGTTACATCATTGATCGTAGGGTTACCAGTGGGAACGCCTGTTGTATGTGTCATTGTGGGGAGGGATCTGTTGGGGGGGCAACAGCTACATCATTGTCAGTCAGTCAAGAGCAATTGATAAGATTGATGTATGGTCATGTGGGAAGAAAATCCCAAGCATGCAAGTTGTAGATGTTACTATTATTGAGAAATCAACAACATGGGTTTGTGCTTTGCAGCACATCAGGGCTTCAAGCATAAATCAAGCAGATCCTGGCACAGCAAAGGGACATAATTCTGATTGTTCTGTATTAAAAATCACCAGATTCAGGTTAATTTTCTTCTATTGCAAGTTTCAAATATATGATGTTTAAAAGTTGGTTGGAACACAGGAAGTGATAGTGTCCCAGCATGCATCTTACCATCTGCCACTCCAGGTAGTAGTAAGCTATGCCGCGCTGTAGCAGCGGACAGTGAAGGTAGGTCACATTGCGACTGTAGCTGAAATGGTACAAAGTAGCTCAATTGTCACATGTACCTACTGGTTTATATCACTCTTCAGTAAATCAGCACAACAAAGCTCTGGTTACATCCAGATAAGAATCTTGAATGTTGAAGAAATCTTTTTTTGGTGAAGGTCAGTTAGTTTACTTAAAAAAGCAAGTTCGAATATTGATGGGTGAGAACACAAACACATTCACATCTACAAGTTATGTCATAAAGCGAATTGTTAATTTGTCAAATTTTCTCTGACATTCAAAACCTATTTCCCTTTGTAGCTTTTCCTTTACTTTTTTTCATCAGTATATATCAGTTCATTGTCATGATTGTCTGTATAGTTTTGCAAATCAATATTCCATACAATGTATACTTTTGGTAGACAATATCACATTGTTACCTTGATGAGAAGAGTGTAAGTTTTACCTGATGTGGTGCCCTGTGCGATACCAGCCAGTGTTCCTATCGCGAGCATTTTGTTCTGAGTATCCCAACGGTCGCATACCTGACATTAATTAAACAGAATATGAGTTGAAACTGTTCATTACTGTATCATATACTACTCAATGTTTGATAAGGATATTGAAATCTTTCATTTGTTGCAAAATCAGAAAACAACACATTGCAATGCGTACTTAAAGTTGATTCTAACTTGGTGGGAAGTTGAAAATTCATCAATCCCATTGTGGTACTGCATACTATTTGTATGACAACTTCTCCAAGCAATTACTCCAAATCAGTCCCCAACATGGACACTCAGAATATCCCTATCAAATGATGAGTAGGATATTAAGTGGCATTTAGTTATCAGAGAAAGTAAAAAAAATGTATGTACGCTATTCGATGAAATAAGCGCCCCGCTCTAATAAGCACCCACGGCGATATTTTCTGATATATTGGCTGGTGAACAATCCCAATTAGCACCCCTTCCGATTGATCAATGCACACAAGACTTATTTATTCGCGTATAATGCACACTCGTGTGTTATATGCACCCTTAATTATGGGCAATTAAAATCTGGGAAAATATATCTGTCGTACATAAACATTTCAGGCTGTCACCATAAACCACGAAATTTATCTTTTTTCACAAAAATAATATTCTAATAAGAGCCCCCTATTTCTAATTTTGAGAGCGCCCTGGGCGCTTATTACGTCGAATACGGTATATTTTTTTATATTTAAATTCAGGTTTATATTGTATCAACTCTTAGGTTAGCATTGTGCAAATATTGTATCCGACAAACATCATCCTCTACATTAATTCAACAAGAAGTTAAGAAAAGGGATATTTCTTTGAGAAATACCTTAAAAGTCTAACAGTTTTCTAGTCTTGAGTTTTATAGAAACTTGTCATGAAATTAAGAGGAAGATTTGTAAAATATTTTCTAACCAATGTTTTCCTTTTCAACCAACCATAGTGAACCTAAATCACAATGATGGCAGTAAACTCACCATAGTTATATAGACTGTCCCTCTTGAGCAGGTTAACGATGCGGAACCTGTAGGTGACCCCTGGCACTGCGTTCCTGACCCGGAAGTAGTACCACTGAGTATGGCGGTTTGTGTACAGGTCAGTCTTTAGCACCAATTCATATTCATACTGACCTCTGGAATTAATTATTGATCTTTGAACATACAATACAATAATGCATATTTGACCATTTATCAAAGTTCTTCTATACATGAGAAACATATACATGAATTTAATATTTGTATGTCATGCTAAAGATATTTTAATTTGTCAAAATGTTCTCCACCTTTGAAAACCCATTATCACAAAAGACTCTGTTTATAAGAATTTCAAAATTTCAACATACAACTAAACGAAATCCAGACATAATATATTGGGTGATAATTGTGGTACCATTATGTCTAAAAATATTCTCGAGTATATATTACACCCCTAAATTGAATTCCTAAGCTACAATAGTTAGGAAATCCCAACTTACTCTCAGGAAAGCGTTGTCATTAAATACTCAAACACACCCCACACAAGCAGCATCCCTATTTACATGTTGATATTCCAACAACTGTTATTAACAACAGACTCAAAGTGAGGACCTAATCACTCTCCATACAACCAGTCAGGGCTAGAGTGCATTACTACAACACACATCAAAACCTAAACTGGAAACTTGAACAAGCCATGTATTACATTTGAGTGAATTCACACAAAACTTGGGGCAAGTTAACTATATTCATGATAGTCAGCACATTTCCATCTAAACAATTATTATTTAACAATGAAGATCCATAGGAAACGTAGTGCAGAGGTTGAGCTACCAATATATTAAAAAGTGTGCTCCATGTGGTTTTTTTGCCTTCAGTGCTAAGACTATTGTAAGCTTAAATAAATGCACAACAGCTACGAACATATTATCACTAAGAATACTTTATATATTTTGGGATTAAGTTTTGTTTATTTTGTTTGTTTGTTGTTTAACGCCGCACTCAGCAATATCCCAGCTATATGATGGCGGTCTGTAAATAATAAAGTCTGGACTAGCCAAGCCAGTGATTGACATCATGAGCATCGATCCTCACAATTGGGATATGAATACATGCATCAACCAAGTCAGCAAGCCTGACCACCCGATCCCGTTAGTTGCCTCTTATGACAAGCATAGTTGCCTCTTACGACAAGCATGGGTTGCTGAAGACCTATTCTACCCCGAATCTTCACGGGTCTTGGGATGAAGTGTCAGTGTGGATAGACCAGTGTGTTCATGTTTATAATATGACATTCTGTGCAGAATTGATACTTTTTGGAGTTGAAGAGAACATAAAAACAGGAAAAAGTGTTCAATTTACTTTTACTTATTGCAAAATTCTATATTTATTTTATGCAAGTTCCAAAATACCAAACCTTATTTTCATGTTTATAAAAAGGAAGCTTTTACACAAAACAGCATTGAAACAGATATTGCTTTCAAGACAGGTAGTCAGAAGAAATTCACTGGAGCTTGGATGCTGTATCCTAAACTTTTCGAAAACAAAGAGCAGCTTTCATTTTAATTTTAGTTTTGTACTTAAGACTTTAATGTTTGAGACTATGTACTTACCAGCACTGCAATATTTTATATAAACTTGAACAGTTTATGCATACTTGATCTATGCAGCATATTTTGTATTATTAGAGTGAATGTGTGAGTGAGAAGTATGATATTTTCCGAAAAAATCTAAGATGTACTGATAAGTTGTGCTACATGTCATGGACTTTCTGATACCCTGGGCAGAAGCCCATTTCTATGTAACAGGTACTTTTTTTTAAAAACAATAAATGAGAAAAGAAAAAAAGATTACTTTATATTACAGGCCTAATATAAAAAATCTCTAAATATCTCTTAGATTGAAAAATTGTCTTCTTAACCATGGAGGTGTGACGATAAATTTCAAAAGCAACAAGACTAGATTAGAAATGGTTCCAAAGAAAATAAAATCTGCAGTATATTGTAGGGTGTAGTTTCCTAACATGAAATCATTATTTCTGAATATACAGTGTCTCAATACCTACAATACCCTAGTGAGAGACAAACGTAACCACCTAACTACGACCTCTCTTTAAGCAGTAAAACACTCACATGTGACATTAACAAAACAAAACGTCTACATAAACACTACTAGAGTAAACCTTTATTCAAGCCAACACTAACAAATCAAAGTGTAGTGACTTGGGGTAACTGTATCCACCAATAACAGGCACCTGACAACTATAGGGAATTACATGTCGTATCCCACCAGGGGAGTATTCAAACACGCAGCCTACCTATACAAACTAGTACTGGTCGGAAACCTTTGTTTTTGCCAGTCTATTGGCTAAGTCAATATTTGACGATTGATTTATCTAAATATAACTGTACCTATAACACTTCAGTGTACTGCTAATAGAGCCTTGGTGCTAGGAATGAACTGGTTGGAACCTCTCTAGTACAACACCTTTTTATACAAGACTCCTGCCTTATTTGTAAGTCACTTTAATGATGATAAATACTGGTATCCATCCTCTCAACAACAACTGTGGTCATCTCATTAACAGTATCTATAGACATATTTGAACCAAGTATTTGGACCTAGCTCCTCTGCCAAGAAATACCTATGAGGATCTGTACCACGGACATGTAGAGGCCCTGAGGGTCATCATCAGACATGAAGGAGGAGGCTATTGTGAATAGACAGTTATAACCATCATATGTGGGGTCAAAATATATACTGAGGTTCGCCAAGAGAGATATGTAATGGGTCATAATGTTGTTTTAGAAACTTCAACTTGAGCAAATTTTAACCCTAGTAAATGTTCTATGACCGGTGGGAGTTATTTTCAGTGAGTTTGTGGTTTATGTAAACCCCACCAGCAAAAGATTAGTGCTGACAAACCAAGGATCACAGGCAGGATGAATCTGGGATTTGAGCCAAATCATAGGAACCTGGCACAGCAAAGGGAGCTAACTTGGTGTAGTGCATTGCAGCAAAATAGATGACTGGGTCACTAGTCCAACCTGCTGTACTGCTATACTGAGCCAACTATATATTGTACTCAAAAGAAGTTAAAGACCGCTTGGTTTTCTCATATGACGATAGTTAATCTGTCATGGCTGGCGGCTATTGCAACATACAGCCTTCCAATTGTGGGTGTTTGGGGTAATAGAGACAAACTATATCCTTACACTCTCCTTGCTTGGCGTAGATTGCCGCTCTCAAAACGGGACTCGAACAGCAGGTTGGGACAACACCCCTCGGGAACAGGCTGAGCGTGGTGTTCTCGGGGACTGCGTTCCGAGTCGTACACGATCAGCACCCCACGCCATCGCCCATGGAAGGGCGTATCCTGGTTTTCTGCTGTTCTTGAGACTGCTGTAAAAGAAGGAAAGTGTGAGTGAGGGATCTTGCAGCAAAGTGGGTGAATAATTCAAACATCGGCCAATGAAGACTAAAATGTCTTAATAGCTAGTAACGTCCAACAACAAAACTCATTAGCAAACACAGTGAGTGAGTGAGTGAGTGAGTGATCACCAAAGGTATCCAACACAAGGAACGTGCACATTTCCAAATGAAAATATGAGTTATCAAATCTACAGTTAGGGTACCTCAAATATCAAATCACAGCAGGCTTATCTTCTTACTGACTTAAGTATTCAACCAATATTCATTATGATGGTTCTTTCGTTGTTTAGTTTAGTTTATAGAGTTAAGTTGTCTTGATCACATGTTTATTGACTGATAGATCCCTGTGCAAGTCTGCATTTTAGGAATTTGAAACACAAAGCACTCAACTTCACATGGTGATGTAGAATGGGTACCCAGAAGGATGAATGGGGACGTAATTGACAGCTTTGAGTGCCTAAGTACAAGCTAAAGTGGCAGAAGCATTACTGGTCCATTTTGTCAAGTACTGTCAAGGATAGAAATGGTCCACGAGCCTGAAGCCTATACTTGTGTATGGATAATGTACCAGCTGCAGTGAGTGGATGCAGCTTCAAACACAACATCCAACCTCTTACCCTGTGGCCTGTGAGTGAGTTTATTCCAGTTATATCAGGGCATGTCAGCTTAATGTGGGAGGAAAGCCCAAAGTGATGCAGGTCTCAGATGTTTACCACTTCGGTGAAACCCACGAGCACGGGTATTGCTCTGACAAACCTAGAAACATAATCGGGGCCAACCGGGATTCAAACCCACAATCATTGGTTTCTGGCGTGCCCAAGGGAAGCAACTCTGCACAGCGAATCGCGGCGCCTTAAACAACTGGGCCCCCCGTGCCCGCTGTGGCCCGTGAGTAATAGAATCTAGGCCAACCAAACCAGGGATTGATAGCATGATTAACTCAGCCATTGATAACATAATTAATCTACATGGGCATATTACCAGTACTTTGATTACTGCATATTGTAAAGATTAAAACAACACAACATGTGTCTGTGGACTTTTGCACGTCCACATAGCTATCACCCAAAACTGTTTTAATGATTGAGATTTTGTTTTAACCTGGGTCCAGGGGCACAGACTCCGGTCTGCTAAAAATGATTTTAACCATTTTGAGCAGTATGTTTTAGCCCTTTTGTTGAAAGTTCATTGTAAATTTTCTTTTAATATTTCCTGTAGTGATCTATGATCAAAATGTTTGAGAGTTGACAGGTATGCTTCTGCAGAGCACACGTAAACTTTTCACACAAATTTTGTGATTTATTATGTATTTGTCAATTACGCTACATCAATGCTCATATTTCATGGTGTTCATCAAAACGTATCCAACTTGTTGAAGGAAAGCTTTACAGTGTCAATCAATACAGTGAATAAGTCCATAAATTTATCCGCCCATGAGCCACCTTTAGCAGTGTTAAGTGAAGGTCTTATCTGTTATTAAATGGGAGGTAAAGACCTCAGTTATTGAAAGAGCATGATTTACTAAATACTTATAGATTTATCAAAACTTCAGAGACAGTATAAAGAGGAGCTGCTACCAAATATACAGGAGGGAAAGGCAGTTCTTCGAAAAAGTATTGAATATATGTCGTATTTCATGCTTAAAAAATTGACACCTATTTAATAAGTGAGTGAGTGAGTTGAGATTATTTTGACACAGTATATCATCTATGACTGTCATATATCAGTTCAAAATGACCAAAGTTCAGTCAGCAATATTACAGTGAGTGAGTATGGTTTTATGCCGCTTTTAGCAATATTCCAGCAAAATCACAGCAGGGGACACCGGAAATGGGAGCAATATTACAGCTCTATCACAGCAGTCTGTAAGGTTCTAAGAGCAAGGACAGGAGCATGGACCAGACAGCTCAAGGAAAATGTTTTCTTGGCCACTGAATGGTAATAGTCCCACCTGGAACAGACAGACCAGTGCTTGATGCAACAGTGAGTGAGTGAGTGAGTTGGGTTTATGTCACTTTGAACAGTATATCATGGCATGTCTTGATGTGGGAGGAAATCCCGAAGTGATGCAGGTCTCAGACATTTCCTGCTCTGGGGAAACCCACGAGCATGGTATGGTGCAAACAAACCTAGAAACATTACCGGGGTGAACACATGAATTGCAGGTTTCCAGCAAATATACCTGGGATTTGCTGCTGCCTCCCTCAGACACCAAGACTTGGCCAACATGTGAGATAATGTTTGCTTGACTACTGGGTGCACTGAGGAAATTTGCTGTACCAACTTTTGAGTTTCCTACACTACGGCTCTTTGTGCCCAACACAGATCTTGGTGCATATAAAGATTATGAATTGTCAATAAATCATATCTGAGTTCATTTTACCACCTCCTTCAACAAAGAAATTTATGAACCAGACTTGTCAGTCATTTTGACTCTCAAAGGGAACAAGCACCATCTCTTGGGGCAACCACCCAATCAGAGAACAGTCAAGTTTAATAAGTGGGGAGGATAGGGTTTCAAGTGGATATAGATTGAAGGCAGAAACACATTAATATCACTTGACAGTCACTTGAGTGAGGAGTTGTCTCCCTTATTGTCACTCTTCAGGGATTGTGACAGTGACAGATGGGAAAGTACTGAAAGAAAATACCCCCCACTTTCTCTATGTTTTTCAAGATGACAAACACATGTCTAGGCTCTAGCAACCCAAGAGGATTGTTGCAGCCTTGTCTGTGCTCCAAGTGAGTGATGGGCGTTTTATGCTACAGTGAGCCATGTGTGAGCCATATTACCGTATTTTCTTCTGTGTAATATATGTACTTGAGTATGTAATACACACCCCCATTCTGGAGTACACATTTTAAGTGAGTGAGTTGGGTTTTAACGCCGCTTTTAACATTATTCCATGGTTATATCGTGGCGTGTCAGCTTAATGTGGGAGGAAAGCTCAAAGGGATGCAGGTCTCAGACGTTTACCACTTCAGTGAAACCCACGAGAACGGATATGGTGCTGACAAACCGAGAAACATAATCGAGGCAAACCGGGATTCGAACCCACAATCATAGGTTTCTGGCGTGCCCAACACATTTTAAGAAAAATGCTATCTTGTGTATAATGCACAGTCAAAAACCACATCATTTGCTTCTGGTGATGTTTTGGCTGGCGTGAACAGAAGATTACACACTTGGTCAAAATGTCAATGTTAATATTTTGCAATAAAAATGCTTTTTTATAAAATCACTTGTATTTCCTGTTATGCCATGCATGTGTAGCGGCCATAAAATTTCCGAGTCCCGTGATGGGATTCGAACCACGGACCTTCTGATCAGAGGTCGGACGCCTTGTCCACATGACCAAAGAGGTTAACCCCGTCAACAGAAGGCACGTCCCGGGCCGCATAGTAGGGTACTGAGGCTTATTTTGCTCAAATTTAATATGAACGTGCTCAGCCCCACGTTGGGCGCCAATGTGGCGGCCATAAAATTTCCGAGTCCCGTGATGGGATTCGAACCACGGACCTTCTGATCACAGGTCGGACGCCTTGTCCACATGACCAAAGAGGTTAACCCCGTCAGCAAGCTGACAAGGTAAGGATGTCATCTGTGGGATCACTCCACGCCCTGCTACACATGCTCTACATGCATCGATCACTAACAGTGTGTGTTATAATTCCCAAGAAACAGCAATCACCTGTACATGCATGAGTTCCCAATGTCAGTAAAAATCCTACATAAATGACTAAAATGGTTTTGAACGCAACAAAATTAATGCTGACACTGTCATATACGAGTAATAAAATGTTTTGATATCTTGTTACTGTAGTTACTGCTTGTTAAGATATGTTTTCAAAATAATCCTTTGGTCTAACAACAGTTAGTTTTTTGTATGTTACAGTTTTACATGTCACTGTGTTAGATTGAACAATCAGCAATTGATCATAATATGAAACATGACAAAATCATACAAGATTAAGAAAATATTGACTTCCAAAAGTCGAATAACAGCTGTCCATGAGCTAATTCTTCTATTTATTCTGACAATGTGCCAATAGCAGTAGTACGTACACTGATCGTGAATGCTGTAAATAATGTTGAGTTGCCGATCAGATCACACGTTTTTGACGGAATTACTATAAACGACATTAAATGAAATTTTAATGAAATGGAATAAAATCATTAAACCTGATATATTTGTATTGAACTGTAAAACATTGTAATAACGGGCCTAACTGGCGTACTTGATTGCAAATTTGTTGACATGCAATTCCCAGTGTTACAAGTTGGCAGTATTGCTTTTTGCTTTGGGAAAAAATCAAATCTCATTGTCTGCGTGTATATATTTATTTTAATTGTACACACCTCCCTACTGTATTTTAAGGAAGAAAAGTGTACAAAACCATTGAAGTTAAAATGCAAAAGGTGAGACCAGGCTTTGACCTGGTTGCCCTTTGGTAATAGTGGAGGGTAAACAGTTTGTTTGTTTGCTTGTTTGTTACTTAAAGCTGCACTTAGCAATATTCCAGCTATATGACGGCAGTCTGTAAATAATCGTGTCTGGACCAGATAATCCAGTGACTAATATCATGAGCATTGATCCACGAGATTGGGTTCGATGACATGCATCAACCAAGTCAGCGAGCCTGACCACCCGATCCCATAGTCGCCTTTTACGCAAGCTGAAGACCTATTCTACCCTGGATCTTCACAGGTCTGGTGATCTGTAAATAATCGAACCTGGACCAGACAATCAAGTGATATTATGAGCATCAATTTACGCAATTGGGTTACAATGACATGCATCCACCAAATCAGTCAGCCTGACCACCTGATCCTGTTAGTTGCCTAGCATGGTTTGCCTAAGATCAGTTTTAACCCAGATCTTCATGGGGCACCCTAAATCACTGACACACACAGCTGAAACCCAGTCCTCCAGGTTGAGACCTACATATATTATCCAAGCATTATCTGTGCTCAGCCACACTGGACAACCAATCTACTTGACTACTGGCGTTCTGTTCTCACTATAGAACACCACTGGCATGTTTGTACCATAAAAAATTCCACAATAAAGTCATGAAGTTCTATAACCAAATATTGACAGATGACCTTACAATTAGATACCCTTGTTGTGGCACATCTGATTTACAAATACTTCAGTCAGTCATTATATCCATTTTGGGTAATGTATAGCATAATGTTCACGAATCTTGGAATGATGGGTCATGTATGCTACTCAAGAGAAGTTACATCTTCCCGAGGCAAGAGAGTTAACTGACTTTAAAAGTCCAGTTTCCACCCTTGCCGAACTAGGCTGGAATTACTGGGCTCGATCGTAGCGCCACCAGTGGCAATTACCAGTTATGTCCCTTCTAAGCCTCTCCTATGGACCAATTAGATTCCACCTCTCGCATCACATGCGTTTGCTTCACGTAAACTGGTGGCGCCGAGTCAGGACGATCTGATCAATAATCAGTATCTATATTGTGATAAAACGGACTTTACATCGCGAAATGCAACAAATCACGTGAGCACCTTGATTAAAAACATGAAAAGATGTGGAAAATATCTGCTGACAACGAGTTGGCGGTGCACATGCTCTGCAAATCCTGCAATCAACCAAAATCTGCACGACTGTTTATGAACCGGATTTCGATTTCGGTGCACGATTTTGATTGGACTATGCTTAGACTCGTTGATCCAGCCAAAATGTAACTCCATAATACCAGCCTAGTTTGGCAAGCGTGGAAACTGGACTTTTATAGTCAGTTAACTCTCTTGCCTCAGGAAGATGGAGAAGTTAAAGAGCAGCTGATTCTTGCTAATGTTAATATGTCATGCCATGCAAATGGACCATAGTAATAAGAAAGAATCGAGTATTCTTGAAATTCTTTCGAGTAGTATATATTGCACCGGATATCTGTTGTCCTTCGCCAGTAGTCACTGATTTGTGATAGAAAATCCATGATTACTTATAAATGTTTCACAATCTTTTCTTAACAGATATACAACACTGTCCTTAATGAACAAATAAACAACAAACAAAATTAATATAAAACAACCCTGTCTTTAACCAAGTATGAAACAACAAACCTGTCTATAATTTCATGGGTAACAAATTGTCTCTTCACAACTTACCGTCATCGTCATCCTGAGGCGCGTCCTCCTCAGGCTCTGTTTCTGCGAGAGGCTCATCTTCCAATGGGCAATCAGAGATGTGTTTAGGTGTCACCAGAATTTCACCATCATAATATTGGGGCCAGTAGGGTCCATAGGGCCAGAATTTAATATCAGGAGGCCTGGTTTTATATTTGTTGATATATTCTTCCAACTGTTGTGAGTATGATAGATAACTGATTTTACTGTAGATCGGTGGTGGCGAGTCGGTATCACTAGACTCTGTTGCTACGACCTGACTTTCCTCCATTCTCAATCCAACACACTCCCTCCAACAATTTCACATCCACAAAACTTGACATTTGCTGTGTATTATCTAACAGAATTGGCCTCTTTGGCTAATATTCCAGTGTCCATATCGTAAAGTATAAAATACCAACAACAAGATATATAACTCTGTACAACCATCACTTTGATCAAATTATGTCCTTAAATATGACAACATCTACACACGTCTCCTGAATTCATTGTCTTCCAACTGCAATGTTTTCTTCACATTTTGTCCAAATTTCATTAACATTGGCTTCCGTTAAACATCCGTTCACCATGTATCCAAAGCCCTTCTCCACAGACCCAATGATCCAGTTCACGAACACTCAACTCTCATAAATCTCCGTGGGTTCTTGCAGGTCTGGCGTGTATTATTAAACTCCTCATAACAGCATAAGCAGTAACTTTACTGTTCTATAAACAATTTCTGTCCTTATGTTCCAGCAATTGTTTGTTCTGGAATATATGTCACCCCTCAACACATGACGGTACGGGCATATTTCCTATTGCTTCTGTACAAATCACTGACACAATGTCCGACAAAGATTTTGCAGGCTTACACCAACAAAACACGATAATCCCAATATTTTCACATCTATTGAATCGCCACACACCTACTAAGAATAAAGCCAAACATTTATAGCTACAGCATAAACATAATGATAATATGACGGATCTTCTATCTCACACTCCATTGTGATTGGATCTATAAATGGTATGTTATTTCCTAAGCACTGAATTCCAACGCTGATCCACTTTTCTCCCAGCGATTATAACCAAGTGAAGATTAAGTGCATTTGTCAATAAAAACCTCCAGCCTAGCTCCACCCGCCTACCTGGATGTTGGGTATAAATGTTTGTACTGACGACAGAATAGAGCCATCAAACAAGTCAGCCTCATAAATCTCCTTCTCAGGATAATTTGATTTTCTTTATCCGGAAACTACGGGAGAAAATGTTCTCACACGTGGACAAAAAGAATTGTACCTACTTCCACAGCTCTTGGCACAAATGCATGAACACCGACGTGAAAAGTCATCAGTTTTAGCTCAATTACTGACACGTCTGTTTCACGTTGAAATTCCAGCTCTCACTTTTCCATTTGTCTGACCGACACAAGGCTAACACAATGGCCAGGACTTCTACAGCTTAGCTTAATACCACTTTATTAATCAGGAGGCCAGAGAAAGGTTCCACTTGGCAGAACTTCTTACACAATTATTCATTTACATATCCTAAAGGAACAGGAAACAGTACTGAGAGTAATCCTATGTGAAGGTTGCAGGGTACAAAATGTCCACTTAGCAGACTTGGCTACAGAGCTACCACCATGAGCGGATTGTTTTGTATGTAAGTAAAACAACATCAGGCTTTTGTCGTTCCAGAGATCAAGTATATAGTAAAACTGCAAATAGCAAATTATATTGTACTGTTTGGGTACTTAAGTCACATATGAAATTGCAACAGTCTATATATCAAAGTCCTGTTTGATTTTTTGGTGACCAATTGTTCAATTTTGACTGATAAACAACTTTATGTCTTCTGTGAACCTTTGTGCACCAACATTGGTACACACACCATGGTACCATCAACCTGTTTCCTTGGTCTCACACAATATAGCAAAAAACGTGAATCCAGACTTGAACTCATCTCAATGTGTGCGCATTCTGTGCATCTCTCTGAACACTGACTTCTCTGGTTCTGCACCATACAGCTTACAAGTTTTCAAGGAGTTGACAGGTTTTTGTCATTCATACATTCCCATACGTAGAACAGATACATCCAATGACCTAGTGGTCCTACTTTCTGGTATCCCTTGTTCCTTGATCACAGTTATTATCAGAACACCCGAACCCTTTCTTTCCGAGGAAACTCTTTCAACAACACACCATCACATTCCTTTATCTCCCATGGTGCCGTCTTCCTTAACCGTCTTCAAATATCATTTTTCAGTCTTTTCTTCCAGTTTTGTATCCTTTGACACCTCCACTATGTCATTCTTGTCTGACTTTTGTGCCTTTCGGGACAGTGAAGCAGACGACAGATAGAGATGTGCGATCGTGAGTGAACGCCGCCGCTTCAACTCTTGTTCTGCATCCAAACTCTGCAGCACCACACTTTGCTTCTTGGTGACACTGCGTGGAGAATCCATAATGGGGGAACAGCACGTACTACATTGTCTACACTACTACCTGCTTTACAACCTGCAAGCAAATTGGTACCTTGGGAATTATTCTCATAGACTCTGCCTTAGACATACAAGTAATGTTTCCCTAGAAACAAACTGCTTGACAACTTAAAAACACATTGATCTTGAAAACATGTATTGATTTTATCCACATTTCTGCACACTTCTGATTTCAAACACAATGCTAATGTAACCCCCCAGAATGAAATACATGTATCAACAAAAATCAGAAAATATCCAGCCAAACAAACAAACATCAATGAGCCTTAGAAGACATAAAAAACATTCCTATTACTCCGGCCAGCTCAATCTATGCTACAACACAAAAGATGCCACCAGTGTCACATATTTCACAGCTGTCTTGAACCAAATTAACAATATATCTACCTCAACAGTCACCATCAGTCTGCAATCCACAACCTTGACAAACCCTCCTTGCCAGCTATCCTCAAACATCACCGGATGCTCAAATGGACTTGCTCAAACATTACAAAACAACCAGTGTATGACGCCATTACAAGGACCTGTTATCAAAACGCTCACAAGATCAAATTTCTGGCCCCAATTCAACCCCTGAACTTTCTATTGTGAGAAGAAGTCGAAGAATTGGTGATCAGTGACTCTGCACTAAACCAGTCAATCAACACATTTAACATATTGTCACACCCTCACTACATTCTGAACACTGACTGAATGAGAAACCATGGCTTTGTCACCATTAACACCCGCTTTTATTCCCTTTGAATAGAACCTCATTAATGCAACACATACATTCACATTCACTGTTCAACCATACCTAAGAAAAGGTGGAGATCAAAGGTGGCAAGGAATATTGAGTTTCCAGTTTTAGTGTTAACACTGACTTGATCATTGCAAAGATCTTTCAGCTAACCAGCTGTAATTGCTGAAGTGAGTTTACTTACTGGCAATATATATACAGTCATTGCTCAGGGACGAATGAGTCCAGTACATTTTGTCATCAACACTCAAATGGAAACTGTCTGTTAAAGATGTCATTACAGCTATGGACCTAAAGACCTTGTTGAGGCATTTTTATACCAAACATAGGCACTATAGTGCTTGTGTCCACAAACACTTGTTACCCTCTATATTAAGGTTTCAAATAAATTTTCATAAATTACCATGCCAACCATACAGGAAATGCAATAATTACATGTAATTTCTGATTGAATCATAAAATACTTGAAATTGTCAGAAAACTTTAACAAACATTATTAAGAAAACTAAGAGTGTTATGCATTTTGAATAACTTAAAGAAGCATATTTCTCAACCATCATCCTACTAAGCAGGAACTAAATTCATTACTCACATGTTCACAGATGGGAAAAATAAAAGTGTTATGCATTTTGAATAAATAAAACAAACATATATCCTCAACCATCATCCTACCAAGCAGGAACTTAATTAATTACTCACATGTTTACAGCCAGGAACATTGTAACATGTTAGGGAAAGTTTTTGTGACCTCCAGTCGAACATTTACAGTGGAACATTGACAGTCCACTAAGAGTCTCCCAGTAACTGCCATATTAAGATCTCTACTGTTGAGGTTGGGCGCGAGACAACACGCCATGACGTGACTCACGCTGCCTACTGTTTGATAGAAGATAACGGGCTTTGAATACAATGTGCCTGTAGGTGATGGAACAGACCACAGTTTCAGGTCTTTTGTTCTGACCAGTTTATGTTAGGTCATTATTGCACAGAAGAACTCAGTCTGACTGAAGGATTTCATATTGCTGAGATATTCAGTAAAAGGCATAAAAGTACATAAACCTTTGAATGCAAAGTAGGCACGATTTATGGAAAACAACTTCTTTATCTACTGTAAAGGCTATGTTTCGGTATAGATCCTTATACAATGATCCGTGACAACGGTGTAAGGATCTATACTGAAACATCATCTTTACATTAAATAAAGAAGTTGTTATCCATAGATTGTGTCTACTTTGTCATCCGTCAACTTCTAAGTAATGCCTATCAAACAATTCATTGAATGCAAGCTTCTTGTAGTTACAAAAAGAGTGAGACACTAAACATCACTTTAGGCCACCATGTTTCAGTTGGAAAATATACAGAAAATATAATAAACTTCACCCCATCTGGAGGGGTAGACACTTCTATTTATATTCAACACGTCCACAACCCACCTTGGACATGCGAGTTACGTAAAAATAACTACATTTTAGGATAAAATAACTAATCCGTGTATATTTCACTAATGTCAAACAAACGGACTAGTGGCTGTCCGTGTGAATGTTAGCCATGGTCATATTAACAAGACAAGCAATCACTCTGTCAATGAGATGTTCCCACCAAACCTAGTTTTTAATTTTGATTTTTAAGAAAAATTCAGACATTATATACAAATTTTAATGTGAATTCTCCAGTTTGTTTTGTTTTATGTATGTGAGCTACTTCATGCTTTCTGATTTCAGAATGAGCAGACAAAAAACCACAAGTGTATAGTACACAAAATAAAACTGTGTTGGTGGGCCCATTCTGACCAGGAATCCCCATGTTGGTGGGCTGTAGGTCTGTTCTGACCAGGAATCCCCATTTTGGTGGGCCTATTCTGATCAGGAATCTCCATGTTGGTGGTCTGTGGGCCTATTCTGACCAAGAATCCCCATATTGGTGGGTGGAGGACCTATTTTGACCAGGAATCCCCATGTTGGTGGGCTGTGGGCCTATTCAAGGCTATAATTTGAGAGTCAATATTGCCTACAGGAACCTGCAGGTTTGGGCTATTGTGAGAAGCAGACAACTGTGCTTGTCAGGGGAAAAGTTAATGGGCCTGGGAGATTTAGTGTCTACTTCACTTTCTTTATTTTATGTGTGCCCTTATCAGGTGAGATCACAGAGATTTCTCTCACCGATCCATACCTTGAACATTACCAACAAACGGTCAGTCTGACATATGCTGGAAATCAGGCCTAAGAAAATAACGGCATTTTCACTTTTGTGATCACATTAATGTAAAAGTTACTCCCAATGTAACAAAACAAGCAAGTGTAATGTGTGTAATTACAGCAGAAGCACACGAATGACTTTGATAATCAAATAATATAAAACAATTGTACAGGTTTTATTTCAATTTAATTATTTCTGAGTTCGAATTGTATGTCGGTTACAATGTTGCAACTAATTAAATTGATGAATCAAGGTTACACATACATGTATATATATGACAGCAATAAGCAGACATTATGTACAATTATAAACAAAAACTTTATACCAATACTTTCAAATACATGACACTTTTTATGGATAGCAACTTTTTTCATTCTTTGTCCCAATGTTTCAGAGCTACTTCTTGCCCCGTCATCAGGTGATTCACCAGCAAGAAGTAGCTCTGAAACGTCATGAAGAAAAAAAGAAGTTGCTATCCATAAAAAGTGTCATGTGTTCATGTCCTTATATCTTTAAAATGCCTATCAAAGAATATTTTCAAAGTCTTCTATATTATAGTTTTTCCAGCATTTCCAGGTTTTTTATTAGACATTGTCTACAAAGAAACCGAAATCTGGGATCTTTGTTGTGTACAATATTCTTTTTTTTTATTGATAGTTTCCCTCGGAGAAAAAGATAAATGCCACCATGATAAAAAAATGTTTAAACTTATCCTTCTCGTTTCATAAAATCTAAATAAAACTTCTTAAGCAAAGTTAAGTAAAACAATTTTCTTTCTATATTATTCCATACTATTGAAATTGTCATTATCAGTTGTATTCTACATATACTACCCAGGTTTTGATACTGAAACATGTCATTCTGTTACAAAACTCAGAGGACTCCAAAATATTGTAATGTGTGTTTAACTTGAAAGAGGTGTAAGTACAATGCAGTATTGAAAACTATTTGTCTGACAACATCTCCCAGCAGTTAGTCCCATTCAGTCCCTACGTGGCCACTCAGAATATCCCTATAAAAAGTTGAGCAGTATATGTGGTCTGTGCTGGTGACCAGCTGGACATTATAACACTGACAACATGGTGACTGGAGCTGCAATGATGACATGGCGACACTATCTTGATTCAACTGACCCCAGCGACATGACTATCTACCATCTAGTCACCACAACAAACATTTACTGTAGCACAGTAGGCCTGTGTGGAGCGTATCGACACTGCATCTGGTAATATGATGAAAGGAGTATGTTGATAGACAACCTCGCAAACTGTACTGTACATAACTAGAGAAAATTATACTGGCATGTGTGTCATACTGATTTTACAAAACGAATATCCCCAGCAAGAATGAGGGTAATACATGAATTTTAAATCAGTTTGACACACACGCGAGTGTAATAACTTCTTTATTTCCTATTCTTTATTAATCCTTTTGAACTACCTTTTAAAAAAATGCACTGATGAGAAGACCAAAGTTGTCGAACGACGTCAACAAACTTCAGGTATACCTATGTTTCTAGTGTGATGTCATTCCGACCTTAAGTCAAAATAAGATTGGAATTATGTCAACAATTCCGTAAACAATACACTGATGCATGTGAAATGATATTTGCACACAGGCAAATACAACTTTAATGAACTCAGTTATTTCTAACCCCATGGGTAATAAACATGGTTATAACCAGGGCATAGATATATGTCAAGTGACCAGCATAATTATTTAGGCTTCAATGTTAATTCTTCTTTTTAAATTGGAATACCATCATTGCCAACCCTAGCCACGAGTGAGTGAGTGAGTGAGTGGGTGTGTGAGTGAGTGAGTGAGTGAGTGAGTGAGTGAGTGAGTGAGTGAGTGAGTGAGTGAGTGAGTGAGTGAGTGAGTGAGTGGGTGGGTGGGTGGGTGAGTGAGTGAGTGAGTGAGTGAGTGAGTGAGTGAGTGAGTGAGTAGGTGAGTGAGTGAGTGAGTGAGTGAGTGAGTGAGTGAGTGAGTGGGTGGGTGGGTGGGTGGGTGAGTGAGTGAGTGAGTGAGTGAGTGAGTGAGTGAGTGAGTGAGTTTACTGCTGTTTGACAGTGTTTCATACCTTTATCAGGTGGCATGACAGCTTGATCGGGGAGGAGGGCCTGGAGGTTTACATATTTACCACCCATGAGCACAGGTAAAAGATATTACGGATAATTTGGGGTTCGAAGCAACAATCCTAAAATCCTGGCATGTCCAAGGGTCACATCTGTGTACACAACTGGGCTACTCGTGTACCCCCTCAAGGCCCCTCAAGGCCCCTCAAGTCATGGCCCATTGTAAAGAGTAATCCACTGAATATGACAAGACCCACTTAGAACGCTCAAACGTTTTTTGCACAGTTTTGTTGTTGTTATTGTTGGTTGTTTAAAGCTGCACTCAGCGATATTCCAGCTTTATGACGGCGGTCTATAAATAATCGAGTCTGGACCAGACAATCCAGTGATTGACATCATGAGCATTGTTCCACGCAATTGGGATACGATGACATGCATCAACCAAGTCACTGAAGCCTGACCACCCAATCCCGTTAGTCGCCTCTTCTGGCGTGCATGGTTTACTGAAGACCTATTCTGACCCATTTTTGCACAGACTGCCACTGTATAGAATGAAAAAGCCAAATGAATAAATCCAATCCATTTTAGATTCTGTGGTCCTGTAATCCCTTAAACCCAAAATATATTCACATGCACAGATAAAATGGAAGCAGCCTAGAAACCAGTTAATTGATTACATTATTTGCACAGCAAACTTCAGATATACCTTTCATCAAAGACCTGCATGCCAGACCTCACTGCTCTTACAAACAAAGCAAATCCACATCAACACACAGCAGCACAATGTTCGTTTCATGTTTACCACCTAAAAACTAGATAGCCAGTGGCTCCCTGGGGTGGACAAATCTCATAGGATATGAAAAGATTACACCGAATTGAACAATGTCCTTTACAATTAATTTCATAAATCTGGTCGATCCATATTTCCATATATAACTACAGGCATATAGTGTTATACAAACTGACAATCACACATGGAAAATATTGTGCATATTTAAGACGGCTCAAAGTGAAAAAATATTCCAATTCACTTTTTGTTTTGTCAATTGATAGAATAGAAATTGGCGAACCAGTGCAGAAATTCAGTGAAGAAATCCAGTACTTGGGCACTTGTAACTTAACCACAGAGGCATGCAAGTCAAGTAATGTGTTCAATATGAGAACGGTAAGGTTCAAGTTCTATACAAAGAGTCATGCCACAATCTTGTTGATAGCTATATTCAACCACAGACCCTTCATTCAGTTTAATTAGGCCCTGAGCATACAAAGTCCAACAGAACTCTCCGACCTTCATTCAACCACAAAGCAATCCTCTCTCCACCTAGCTATATACACAAACACACCTCACCAATATCATGAACACACGCACCCTTTATATCACTGGATTTCATTTGACTTGATTCAGCTTTTACCTATACAAGCATAATGGGTTTTTCTCCTGTTTGCACAAACATGCTAATTAACAGATAAGTTCAGGATTTCTGTGTGGGATCCATTCAGGAAAAGGGCGTGAGGTTATGGCAAGGGTGGCTGCAGGGGTTGACTCCAACTGACTGTGTTGTTAAGTACCTTGCAGGGGAA